GCTCTGTTTGTGGTTGTTGTTGTGCAGGGTTTTGAACTGTTGGTTGTGGTGCAGTGTTTTGAACTGTTGGTTGCTGTGCTGGTTGTGGAGGTGGTTGTTGTGCTGGTTGTTGTTGTTGTGCTGGATTTTGAACTGTTGGTTGTTGTGTTGGTTGTTGTGCTGGTTTTGGTGCATGCCTGTGTCTGTGTCCATGTGACGATGTAAATGTTTTAGGTAGTCCTGGTGCAGGTGCTTCTCTTGGAGGGTTTGGTGGTATATAAATTCCAACAGCTGGTATATAAGTTCCACCAGCTGGCACATATGTTCCATCTGCAGCGTAATGTCCTACCTGACTTTTCGTTCTTAAGAAAGCATTTACTAGGTCTGTTTTGGTCTGTTGTAACTCTTTTTCTTGACTTTCCACAACAGTTGCTCTAACGGCGTCATAGGCACTTTGAACTGCCTGTCTCGTTGCTGCGTCTGTTATTTTCGTCATATTTTGTGCTACTTCTTTTAACTCTTTGTCGAAACCTTCAGACTTCAGTTTCTTTCCAGATGAGAAGTCGTTCACTTGTTTCACCTTACTATGAAGAGCTTCGAAGGCGTTCTTAAAGTCAGCATTTGTTAAAGCTTCATTTGAACTGTCTTCATCCGCTTGTATTTTTGTCCTTATTGACCCTATAAGTTGGGCTGCTTTAGCGTTGGCTTGGGCATCTAACCAGTCATTGTTAGCTTTTATATATTCTGCGCTTTTCATTGCCTTTTGCATGGCTGCGTCGTTATTTTTACTTTCTTGTGCTAAGTTTTCATACTGTAAGGTTTGGTTTTGCAACTGTAAAAGTTTTTCTGCCTTTACATTTGCTTCAACTTCTTTTTTATACTCATCGCTATCCATATATGTCTTCAGGGCTTTTTGTTTTATCTCTTCATCTTTCAGTACTTTATATCGAGTAGTATGGTTTTTCAAATTTATGACATCTTGTTCCATTTTTGCTACTTCTGCTGCTTTTTCTGACACTTTTTTCGCATATTCCTCTGTACTTAGTTCTTTCAGTTGTTCTTCTTTCTTCTTTTTCTCTACGTTTAACTCATTGAGTTTCTTTGTGTGTCTGTCATATTCTAGTTTCTTTTCGTTTTCACTTATTTGTTTCTGTATGTCTATGTTTGACTTTTTGACATCTGTTATTTGATTTTTGAGTGAACTCAAATTCATTTGACTTTGAGGGTTATAAGCTGTTCCGTCTGCAGCTCCACCATAGCCTGCCATTTTCGCTAAAAGTGCCGCTCTTAAACCTCCACTCTGTGCACCAAGAACTCGGTTTAAAAGCATAGGATTGCTTGACATTTGTTGCAACATAGTGGGGTCATTCAGCATTTGTTGTTGCAACTGTTGTTGTGGTGTCAGTTTTACTATTGGATGTTTCAATGCTCTCTTCCTCTTACGTATATTCTTACGTAGCTTACGTGGCATTTTAAGTGAAGTAAAAAACGGTTTTTGACAGATGTTTTATTGTGACTTCTTCGTAAAGACTTTGTTGAGATTTCTTCGTAAATGAGTGTAAATGACCCAAAAATATATTTTAGGGTAGAAGGTTAGATATAACCTCTTTTCTAACCTCTTTTCTACCCTCTTGAATTTTCATGAATTTCTTCGTAAAGACTTTGTTAAGACTTCTTCGTAAAGACTTTGTTGAGACTTCTTCGTAAAGACTTTGTCAAGACTTCATCGTAAAGACTTTGTTGAGATTTCTTCGTAAATGACCCTAGTAGTATATTTTTGGTGTAAATTTCATGAAAATTCAAGAGGGTAGAAAAGAGGTTAGAAAAGAGGTTATATCTAACCTTCTACCCTAAAATATATTTTTGGTGTAAATTTCATGAAAATTCAAGAGGGTAGAAAAGAGGTTAGAAAAGAGGTTATATCTAACCTTCTACCCTAAAATATATTTTTGGTGTAAATTTCATGAAAATTCAAGAGGGTAGAAAAGAGGTTAGAAAAGAGGTTATATCTAACCTTCTACCCTAAAATATATTTTTGTCTGATTTTACGAAGAAGTCTTGACAAAACATTTACGAAGAAGTCTTGACAAAACATTTACGAAGAAGTCTTGACAAAACATGAAAACATATATAATTTGTGAAAAGCTCCTGGAAGACCTCCGAATAAAAACTTCATTTATGTGGGCTAGAGGGCGCAACGCGCCTGGAAGCCCTCCGAATATATACTTCATTATACTCATTCATCCTCAGGGCTAGAAGGCACGAAGTGCCTGGAAGCCCCACTACCTTTTTTTTTTTTTTTTTTTTTTTTTTTTGTTTTCCATTCATTATATGAAACTGTATAAACTTTATCTTTATCTTTGCATCTTTCATCACTTCCAATATATTTATATTTCAATTTTGATTTATTGGTTTCATATTCATTAACGTTTAATAATTCACAGTCTTCCTTTTTAAATAAATGTTTTATGTATTCAGGATTAAGGATTCTATAATATTGCTTCCCTTTAAATCTTTGAATATAAACAGGAACACCATCCTCTAAAATTCGATAATCCATTTTATCTGGTTTTACTTGTTGGGTCATTTATGTAAGAATAAAAAATAAATTATGTTTAAAATTAATGTTAATTTTTTAATGATTTATAAATAAATATATTTTAATGCATCGTCTATATATAGATGTAACAAAAAAAGTCACTAAACCCATCCTATCCTACTACTTATTCATTGAAAATTATTATATTTTTTTTTATTATTGTAAGAATAAATATTTTTGTTGTTTTAAGGAAATTTCATAAAAGCTTTCTTTCTTTCATCATTTTTTTAAAATGAAATCTTCGATTCACTCTAGCTTTCAATAAAGCTGGAGTTCCAAGTGATATATGGGAAGAATACTTCGGGAAACCAGCAAATGACTATAAAAACATCACAAATAATTCAAAACCAACTATTTCAAGCGATTTTTTCTTATTATCTTCAAATTTCGAAGACTTTTCGGACAGTGTCATTAATTGCAATATCAAATCGATTAAATTACTACATTCGATATGCACATATACTAATATTACACGAAATTTAGGATTTGGTGGCTGCATCCACTTCTCTGGTGACAGTTCCATTGCACAAGACCAATTTTGCTCTATTAAATGCTACACACCAGGCTGGGGAAAGCATTCTTACACCGATGTTGTAACAGAATCAAACAAAAATTTAGTTAATTTAAGTTCTCTTTTTCAATGCGGCCGTGAGAACACTGGATATGCCAGTATAAATCATAACCATGGAGAAAAATCTCTTATTTCTACAAACAACACTAATACGAGATGTGGGGCATGGGCTGGTTATCGTTTTAAGTATAATCCAGTTAATATTAACTTTTGTTGTTTCATTTCTAATGATAACCATTTATTTAACCCAATTTGCATGTGTCATTGGGAAATACCTGATTCTTTTGTTAAAAAATCAATCATCAAAAACAACACAGTTCAAATTGATGGTTCATATAATGGCCTTATATCATCATATCAATCAAATATTACTGTTTCAGAATGCATTTTCATAGAAAACAAAGCACCATATACTTTCAGTGCTGATAGAAATGGTATTCTAACAGTAATAAACTGTACAGGAGATCCTTTGACTGCAAGTAGTTCTCGAGGTACAGTTCACACAGATAAGATGACAACAGATCCTTTTAATCTTACACTTTCGCTTCTTTCATTAGGAAAATGTGAACAGGACTTCCACTTTCATTTGAAAACATTTTAAATAGATCCACAAAGAATAACAGTCTTGTACTTGAAGAACTTATTTCTTTTAATTTTTCTCTTGAAAGTTTTCTAAATTTGACTAAATCATAAATCTATCCTCTTATATATATCAAATTGATGTGATATTTTTAATATACCTGATTCTATACATGCATGAATTATATTTTCAGGAAAAATCGAGATGCTGCAATAATATAATGCTCGGTTTTGCTTCTATTTGCTTCCAATCATTGAATATGAGCCATAATAATCTTTTAAATTCATCTATATAAGATTAACTTTTAATGCATTTACCACAAGATTAAGGTATTAAGCGACAGGAAACCTCAGTCGTATCTAAGGACCTAAAGGAGATAGAGACAACATAATCAGGTATAGAGATGCTACAGAGTTTTCCTGCCATCATTAAAATATTAGGATAAATGAAAAAAGCATTATGATTGAATCAAATAGATTTCTTAACATTTAAGTTGAAATATATTCTTATGAGAGTTAAATTCTCCTTTTTAATTCCTTGCTTCTAAATAAATTCCCACTGAAATATATCATTTTTGGTTTTTTTCATTCATTCTTCAAATGCCTTTCTTGGATGCACAGTCATCAAGGAAATTGCAGACATGCTCAATATCATGGAAATTCTTAATATCAGCAATATATGAGAGATTATCTCTTTGAATGACTTGAGATTTAAGTGATTGTAGATCTTTCTAAGAAATTATGCTAACACATACATCAACACAGTATAACTATTTAATAGGATATAGTTTTATATATAATTTTATAAGTAATATGGTTTTCTAATAAAAAAAAGAATTAAATCACATATTTTATAATTTAACAGCAGCCCTTTTGATTTTGTTCTGGCTTATTTTCTTAATTAATGTTTTCCTTTTGGACAGTTGCGGCTTCATACTGGGAAACATCTCTTGCGATATCATCAATTTAAACATCTATTTGATATCCTGTTAAAGCTGATACTTGATAATATCTGTAACTAGAATGATTGATGTAGGTATCGAGTTGTTCTTGAGGAATTTTCGTTTTTGATTCAAATCTTTGAACTATTGTAGTTTAAGTTCAAATTCGATACAGACACTTTGATACTATTGCCTACTATACTTTATAGAATGTTTTATTGTAATTTTGTTTTAAAATTTTGTTATTTTGATAAATTTTTGTTATTTCACGTGGTTATTTTGTATTTCTAAAAAATTTAGGTATTTCTGGGATAAAAGACCGGTAAAATGTTTACTGGAAGCAGAGATCGAAATCATCATCTTCTGTTCCTTCGAAGAGGACTTCGATTGGAGCGAATTCTGGCATCTTGAGATCGTCGATAAGCTTCATAGCACCCTGGAAAGCTGTGCGCTTGAGTCCCTTGTCAGCGTTCTTTCCGATGTAGACGAAGATCTTGTCTCCGTATCTGACATAGGAAAGGGCATCTGAGCTGAGGACAGCCTTCTTGACAGCAGCGTCCTTGGCGAGTTCCTTGCCATTGGCATCGTAAATAGCCTTGACGAAGGCTGTTTCGTAGGCAGCATCGGAGTTGTCAGCAGCACCGATTTCTCCTTCCTTGCCGATGATGGCGTTGAGTTCCTCGTTCTCTTCGTCTTCGATTCTTGTCTCGGTAGCCTTTGGATCTGTCTGCTTCAAGACTGTAAGTGCTGATGCACCCTTGTTCTTCTCAAGAAGGTTGGCCTTGTTGCCGATCCAAAGGAAGAACTTGCCTGGAGCGTGGATGATGAAAACATCTCCATGGTTGAGGGAGGAGCGAGCAGCTGGGACAAGCTGGAGGATCGGGCGCTTCTTGCCCTTGATTCTGTACATGTCAACCTTTGTGGATGTCTCAACCTTCTTGAATCCGGATGCGACACCACCGTCGAGGTAGCGGACACCACCAACCTTGTCGAAGAGGCCAATGAACTGGTCTGATTCGTGGTTCTGAACTTCTCTGTGTTGCTTTGGAGAGCCGCCAAATCTGTCGTCGAGTTCAACAGCCTTCATAGCTACAGCACCACGCTCATCTGTTGATGATGTGGAGCCTTGCCAGAAGTAGATGTCACGATGGACAAGCTTGCTTGTGCCAACAAGGTATGCGTACAAGTAAAGGTATGAATCGCCTGTGTGGAAAGCACCAATTTCAGCAACCTTGACTGGCTTGAAGTTTTCGATACGCCAGCCACAAAGGCCAGTCCAATCTTCAGCAACTGCGGCAAACTCTGGGTCTACAGCCATGAAAAGTGAAGTGAATTAGAAATTTTATTTTGTCAGAAAAGAATTTATCAAAAAAACTCAGAAACTTTATCCAAATTTTACGTTGTTATAGACCGAAAATAGATTTTTTCGGTTTTCTCTTCAAATAATTGAAAGAATGATACTATTATAGGTTTATTATATTATATAGCATATAATCATGCTATAGCCGAAAATTATAAGTTTTGAGAAGATTGAATATAACACAAATAAATTTGAATGTAAGTTAAATTGCTTGTTGTTTTTAATAGCTATTTAACGAGAAATCCAATATTGCAAAATTCAAATTGAATGATTGAAAGAACAGAAAAAGTCATTCTTTTCAATTTCGAATATGTTTCATTGTATTTATAATTATATGGCAAATAAGATATTTAAACTTGATTTTTGAAAGAAAATTCACAAAATTGAATAAATTCAAATAATTTTTATTCAAAAATAAACTACAAAGTTTGTAATTTAAAATATTTTGTGAGATCAGATTGAATTAATTCAAGGTTCTTTTCAATTAATATTAATGACCATATTACGCATTTTCGAACATTCTAAACCAAATATATAAAAATGGGAGACGAATGTTAAATTTGCTCGACATGGGGGAGTTGTCTGCAAAGTTTTAGCTCTTATCTCTAACAAAAAATTATTTTTTAAAAAAATGACCGAATACGTTTCACAGCGAGAAAAAAATAAAAGGCAAGATAGAATTTTCTAGAAAATTCTTATTTATTTCATTCTTATTTAGCTATTATAATTAATATTCTTCATATCAAAATAACTTGATATCAAAAATTCAAATTCAATTGATTGAAAGCAAGTTGCAATTGTCCGCCTATTTATTTCGTTTGGTTACTATACAAACTATCATAATTTACTAAAAGGGTTTATTCTTATCGGAAACTTATTTTTTTGAAATGTTTACAATAATCAAAATTGCGATTGTAGTTATCGTAGGATTATTGCGAATCGTGGGCTATTCTTCTTGCTCGCACATTATTATCATCTTTTATGGCTATACCATTGATAATTATTTAATTTTGTTCTCGCAAAACTATCGCTTTGATATGTTACCGCGAGGTTCTAAGTGATAGTCACTTTTGTAAACATGATCGCTTGGAAAATTTAGATATCATGCAAAATGATCCTACAAATTGTGATATAATCCAATACACGTCTACATCGCCAGGCAATTTGCCTCTTATCTACTTTTATTTCCTAATTTTTTATCAATTTTATTAGATATTTATGTTTAAATATAAAAATTTGAGAACCAATACTAATGGATATACAAAATATAAAATATTTTCTAATAAATAATAGAAATTGAATTTGGAATTCTTTCAAAAATTGAATTTTCAGGAAGATGAACATGAATTTATAGCTTATTTGCATAAACTAATATATTTATCTCATAAGTCCAATAAATAAAATGAGATTTTGGTCCAATAAAATGTCAAAGATTTTGGCCGAAAGTTACACTAACGAGAAGTTCGAATATCTTCAAAAAAGATTTTCCAAATACATAGAAACGGAGATAATGATCCGAGACATTTCCTCTGAAGAGGATATTGATTGCATTTTTGCTTACATTCAAGATAAAAATGTCGAAATCCCTTTCGTCTTACATTGCATTAACGCATTTTCACCAGAAAACAAATTGCATATCAAAACATATGCAGAGTTGTTCTTTAAACTTTACGATACCTACAAATTTCCAATATACAATAATAACAACAGAGCACTTGCTTCCTTATTCTACCACAAGTACAAGATTCCATACATGGAAACATATTACAACAGGAAATACACGCCAGATGATCCAGAACAAATTTACGATGTATTCGAGAAAAATTCCATTAATTATTACATCATTAGAGATGATTTAGAAGGTCTCAAGACCATCCCCAACCTTACACCCAACAAGCATCCCATCAAATTCGAATTAACTCCACTCCACATTGCCTGTGACTATGGAGCAGAAAAATGTTTCTTTTACATGTTGGAAAAAGGTGCAACAATTGATTACCAATGCCTTGAATTTGCTATCAGTTCAAAGAACAGAAAGATTATTGAAGAAATCCTTAAACATCATGAGCTGACACAAGATCATTGGGAGAGATCAACACGTCAATTTGATTTCGAATTTTTCAAGTTCATTGATTCGAAATATCACGGAGAAAAGAAAATGCAATGGACATTGATGAATGCTGATTTATTAACAACATTCTATTTCTATTGTTTCTATGCAAATGATGAATACACGAGGACACAAGTTTTATTGAAAATTTTGAGTTTTCCTGTCATTGATTTTTTGAATTACTTTTTTGTCGAAGAGAAAAACGACATAAAAAGGGATTATTCACGAGCAGATCCTGTTGAACAAGTAACAAGAACATGTGATATGAATTATATAAGAAAAGTATTTGATATGGGATTATCCCTTGAACCTATTTTTGATACAAATGCTTTGTTTTATGCTGCTGAAGTTGATAATGAAGAATTAGTTGATTTTTATGTCGACAAAAAAATCGATTTAAATAATTTTGATGAAGAATGTTGTTCTTGTTTACATAAGGCTGTTTTTTATGGTTCACAAAGAACAATGATTCAGTTAATGGATAAATACAAATTACCTGTTGATTTCTGTAATGATGCATTAAAAACTCCTTTGTTTGAAGCAGAACATCCAAAAATTGCAAAAATTTTATTAGATAGAGGTGCTAAAATTAAAGTTAAATTAGATACAGGTTATATGCTGTTAAAAGATGCTGTAATGAGAAATTATGATATTACGGAATTTTTAGTGAAAAATGGTGCAGAAATACCAAATGATATATTCGAAGAAATGGTTGAAGAATGTATGCCTGATGATGATGATCATGCGAAAACAATTCTGTTGTTGGGAGGAAAAATTCCAAAAGATTATAACTCTTTTTATAAAGTAATAGAAGAGAATTTGGTTAAAAGCATTGAAGCGTTTATTAAAGTTGGATATGATCCGAACAGGAAATCAAAAGATTTTCCTTGTCCACTTTATAATTGGATGTGCAGACAAATTAAACCTGAAGCTTTTGAAGCATTACTTAAAAATGGTGCTGATCCAAATGCTACTTTTAGAAACTTACCGATGCTGCATATAGCAATGATTGCAAAGAATGATGATTACGTAAGAATTCTTCTTCAAAATGGTGCAAACCCGAATTCAACAGGATTGAAAGGAAATGCTTTACAATTGGCTATTGATACCAAATTTAATATCAAAACATTTTTGAAGTATGCAAAAGGTTTTAATTTCAACACAAAAGTTATTGAGTTGCCGCTGATGTTTTACTTGGTCAAACACAACATGGTTGAAGAAATATCAATTGCTTTGAATCGTGGCGCAGATCATGAAATTAAATATAAAGGTTTGTCACCTTTTTTATATGCTGTCAAAATTGATGCGAGGAAAGAAACTCTGAAAGTGTTGATTGACAACAAATGCGACACATTGGCAAAGGATGCGGATGGAAGAAATGCATTACACATTGCTATAAAATGTGTTCCAAAAACTGTTATTTTGAAGAATTTGATCGAATTAGTTCCGAATTTGGAAGAATTGAAGAAAGATAAAGATAATGCAGGGTTGAATCCATTCGAATATGTTCTGGTGTACAGATCTAAACCTGCTACAATCAATTTAGCCTATGACAATCTGTTTTGTGATGTCGATTTTGATAATATCCCACAAAATAGATTTTCCGCTGCAATACATTTGGTTTATAATTGTTTGAAAGAATAAAACTCTATTTATATTTGATTGACAATAATTTGAGCTTTTTTAAAACCCAATTAAGTATTTTCTGTAGTAAAAGTCATAAATATCAAAAAGTTTAAAAGTTCAAATAGTTTTTCATTTTAATTCATGACGCAAAATATTGTGATGAGTTCAAAGCAAGAATGAAAGTTCATCTTAAGGATGCACTCACTACTTCCTGATATTCTCTAAATTTTCCTGACAATTGTTTTATTTCTCTATATCTCTTCTTGCCTGCAATCGACATTTTTAGAAAATTTCAGAAAATGGTCAGTGCATCCTTACATTTCAGTTAAAATAGAGCTAATCATTTAAAGCTATGAACAGTTTCAGAGAGAACTTTCATATTTCTTCAGACTGTTTCAGAGAACTATATTTACGCAGATTGTTAATATAGAAAAGTTTAATCCCATATTAACATCAAGTTCGAAATGTAATATTTTAAGTCAATTCATGTTCCCAAAAAATCTTTCATATAAAATCATATCTTCGAATGTAGAAACCATAAATCGTCAGTATTATAAACATATATTATATTAAATAATAAATTTTTATAACATCAATAAAATTAATTAGTGCTCTCATATGTTCCTGTTTCATCATAAGTACCTGTTTCATTTTCAGTTGTTTCCTGTGTCTCTGTTGTTGTTCCATCTTGTGTTTCTTCTGTTGTTGTTGCATCTTTTTCTGTAGATTCATTTTCAGCAGCAGAGGCGGCGGCAGCAGCTTCCTTTTCTGCTTCTTCCTTCTCTCTTCTTGCTTGTTCTTCTGCTTCTTTTCTTTCTTTTTCAAGATTAAGGGCTTCTTGTCTGTCAGCGAAAGAAATTGGTTCTTCGTCAATCTTTTCAAGCCACGGCATCATGAGAATGACATCTGACTTGAAGTTCTCAACAGAAGTAACTGGAGTGCCATCGAAAATTATTGTATTCATATTCTTAAGATTTGCAAGAACATGTAAGTCTTCGAGGTTCTGTATAGCAGTCTGATGCATATCGAGGACTTTAAGAGCTGGAAGATCCTCCATTCCTGGGAATTTTTCAATCGCATTCTCTCCGAAGCTCAAATTTTCAAGTTTATCCATACCAGCAAATACTATTATTGGTATTTCTGTAATTGCGTTCTGATCGAGCTTAAGAACCTTAAGATTAGAAAGATAAGCGAAAGTTCCAAATTTGAAGTTCTTTAACTTGTTTTGGGACAAGTCAAGCTCTTCAAGATTCGATAACTGTGAGAATGCAGTCTGTGAAATGTACTTAATAGCGTTCTGTGAAAGATTTAATTTCTTTAGCTTTGGAGTATTGAATTCTCCAAGGGAACAGAATTTATTCTGCGATAGATCGAGAATTTCGAGTGATGGGAGGCTAATTCCATCGAAATTAACAACTTTATTTTCTTGTAAGTATAATTCTTTCAATTTTGGTAAACCATTAAGTGGGGAAAGATTTGAGATAGAGTTTGTTTTGAGTGATATGTAGAATAAAGCTTGAAATGTTGATAAAGCAGAGATATCAACAATATCTGCTTCTGCAACTGAAAAAGAAGTAAATGCGAATGAAAGAGAGCCTTCTTCGACTGGTTGGAGGTCGGATAATCTCTCTGCAATGAACTGTGGTGATAATCTGAGTACTTCTTCATCTTCAGGATCTGGGGTTTCTGGATCAGGAGCAATTTCTGTCTTTAACTGTGTGACAATGTTTTGAGCGAATGGGATGAATTGATCTTTGCTGAATTGCTCTGGTTTTTCTAAATTTTCAAGAACGTCAATTAAATCTTCTCTTGAAAAGCCATTTGGAAGCTTAACTTTCTGCATAGCGAAGTCGATTGCCTTTTGATAGCCAATTTCACCCTCAAGAACTTCTTCTTTAGCAAGAGCATCGAAAAGCTGGCCTAATTCCTCTTCCATTTTTAGATAACGTATGCATAAAAGTGACACTTCTAACTAACATCAGACTTTTTACAATGATCATGAACAATTTTTATGCATATCTTGCATCGATAACTATCTCCAGCATTATCAATGTTTTTGTATCTCAAGATAATTATATATAGTCAGGAGAAAAAGGTGTAAACCGGGCAAAAAGGTGTAAACCTTAAATTTTTAGGGATAAAAGTAGGAAAGATATTGTCCTCATATGTGTGCGATCTGGGAGGTATGATTAGTTCAAAAATTCGAAATAGATTTAATAATGATATATTAGCTATTATATGATAACATATATAAATAATAACATAAATAGTTTCCTTATATTGTAGAAATTATAATTCTTTGAAGAAAATGGATATTTAAAATCTCAAATAATCTTGAATTTTTCATCAAGATGAGGCTTAGTGATTTAAATGCTAGTCCATTACATTGTACTTCAATAGCATATAATATATGCTCGATCATATTTATATGAATTAACTATCAAGCAGCAAGAATACATAAAAAACCTTATCTAAAAAGGTGTAAACCATATTGAGAAAGCTTGCTTTTTTAGTATGATCACAACAATCGATTCCACATTAGAAAATAAAATTATTTTTTGCGCATCAATAATTGAATTGATTTTTTACCACAATAATAACAAATTCAATTTAAAATTTGAGCAACAGACTTCAATAAAGAATAATTTAAGCCTACATGATGTGTATCTATATTTCTGACAATATAAATGCTATAACTTCAATTTGAAATTACAAATTTGATTATTCCAAAAATTTTTGAAAATACAATTATATTACCAATAAAAACATTGAGATAGAATAAAAGCTATCTAATGATGAAAGAAATAAAAGTTGAACAAAAATGAACGTTTATAATTTTTTCATTTTGGATAATCCATCTCCAACATAAGATCTCTTCGAAAGACCCACGCCAAATAACCCAATATTAAGGATTTACAGATGACTTAGATCATTCTCCTTAATATTTGCTGATGAAGGAGAAAGCAATTTCTACAAAGAATTGTTAATTTCATTGATAAAAACGAATAAAAATATTGTTTATATTCTATTTTAAATCTCTAACAATGATTTTTTGAGTATTATTAAAGTTTTTTTTTAAAATCAAATCATCTAAATACCGTTCCCAACTTCTGGAAAACGGTTTTTCACCCTTATGATCAGTTTCAGACACTTTGGGAGTCTCCCAAACTTTGATATTTTGCATTATGATAGAGAAACGTGTCTAGTTTAACGCACAGTTGTTTTAAAGGCAAATGATGATATCACATGAAATTATCAAATTATCAAATTTTGAAGTACCAGTCCAAAGGGTTAATTAGATCCTACACAGATGTGCGATAGTGAAACATATGTGTTCTTGATTTGAGAAGTCCTACTGATAGAGGTATGAATCTCACAGCTTTGTGTGAGTGTGTCTGACACTTGTATAGAGTGGAATATGCGCCGACATATATTATATAATAACATGTAGTTGATAATTATGAAAAAATAGAATTCGATGCGAATGATATTGAAAGTTGTTTTGTAATTTGATATTTTTCTTATATGTGTTAATTAGTAAATGGCTTGTTTGTTGTGATTGAAAAAAAAAAAAAAAAAAAAAAAAAAAAAAAAAAAGGCAGTGGGGCTTCCAGGCACTTCGTGCCTTCTAGCCCTGAAGATGTTTAGTATAAATGAAGTTTTTATTCGGAGGGCTTCCAGCCCATAAGAAATTTTTCCCAAGACCCAAGAGGAGGACCGAACCCCAGCCGACCAGCCGTTGACTTTTTTGTCATGATTTCATCGTAAATGTTTTGTCATGATTTCATCGTAAATGTTTTGTCAAGACTTCTTCGTAAATGTTTTGTCAAGACTTCTTCGTAAATGTTTTGTCAAGACTTCTTCGTAATGAGCGTAAATGACCCAAAAATAATGTTTATGTTAGAATGTTAGATCTAACACGTTTTCTAACATGTTTTCTAACATCGTAGAAAACTCATGATTTCTTCGTAAATGTTTTGTCGAAACTTCTTCATCGTAAATGTTTTGTCAAGATTTCATCGTAAATGTTTTGTCAAGACTTCTTCGTAAATGTTTTGTCAAGACTTCTTCGTAAATGTTTTGTCGAAACTTCTTCGTAATGAGCGTAAATGACCCAAAAATAATGTTTAGGGTAGAAGGTTAGATCTAACCTCTTTTCTAACCTCTTTTCTAACATCGTAGAAAACTCATGATTTCTTCGTATATGTTTTGTCAAGACTTCTTCGTAAATGTTTTGTCAAGACTTCATCGTAAATGTTTTGTCAAGACTTCTTCGTAAATGTTTTGTCAAACATGAACGTAAATGTTTTGTCAAGACTTCTTCGTAATGAGCGTAAATGACCCAAAAATAATGTTTATGTTAGAATGTTAGATCTAACACGTTTTCTAACATGTTTTCTAACATCGTAGAAAACTCATGATTTCTTCGTAAATGTTTTGTCGAAACTTCTTCATCGTATATGTTTTGTCAAGACTTCTTCGTAATGAGCGTAAAGGACCCAAAAATATAATTTAGGGTAGAAGGTTAGATCTAACATTCTAACATAAACATTATTTTTTGGTGTAAATTTCATGATTTTCAAGAGTTTTCTACGATGTTAGAAAACATGTTAGAAAACATGTTAGATCTAACATTCTAACATAAAATATATTTTTGGTGTAAATTTCATGATTTTCGAGAGGGTAGAAAACTCATGATTTCTTCGTAAATGTTTTGTCATGACTTCTTCGTAAATGCTTTGTCGAAACTTCTTCATCGTAAATGTTTTTTACTTCACTTAAAATGCCACGTAAGCTACGTAAGAATATACGTAAGAGGAAGAGAGCATTGAAACATCCAATAGTAAAACTAACACCACAACAACAGTTGCAACAACAAATTATGAATGACCCCACTATGTTGCAACAAATGTCAAGCAACCCTATGCTTTTAAACCGAGTTATTGGTGCACAGAGTGGAGGTTTAAGAGCGGCACTTTTAGCGAAAATGGCAGGCTATGGTGGAGCTGCAGACGGAACAGCCTATAACCCTCAAAGTCAAATGAATTTGAGTTCACTCAAAAATCAAATAACAGATGTCAAAAAGTCAAACATAGACATACAGAAGCAAATAAGTGAAAACGAAAAGAAACTAGAATATGACAGACACACAAAGAAACTCAATGAGTTAAACGTAGAGAAAAAGAAGAAAGAAGAACAACTGAAAGAACTAAGTACAGAGGAATATGCGAAAAAAGTGTCAGAAAAAGCAGCAGAAGTAGCAAAAATGGAACAAGATGTTATAAATTTGAAAAACCATACTACTCAATATAAAGTACTGAAAGATGAAGAGATAAAACAAAAAGCCCTGAAGACATATATGGATAGCGATGAGTATAAAAAAGAAGTTGAAGCAAATGTAAAGGCAGAAAAACTTTTACAGTTGCAAAACCAAACCGTACAGTATGAAAACTTAGCACAAGAAAGTAAAAATAACGACGCAGCCATGCAAAAGGCAATGAAAAGCGCAGAATATATAAAAGCTAATAATGACTGGTTAGATGCCCAAGCCAACGCCAAAGCAGCCCAGCTTATAGGGTCAATAAGGACAAAAATACAAGCGGATGAAGACAGTTCAAATGAAGCTTTAACGAATGCTGACTTTAAGAACGCCTTCGAAGCTCTTCATAGTAAGGTGAAACAAGTGAACGACTTCTCATCTGGAAAGAAACTGAAGTCTGAAGGTTTCGACAACGAGTTAAGAGAAGTAGCACAAAATATGACGAAAATAACAGATGCAGCAACGAGACAGGCAGTTCAAAGTGCCTATGACTCCGTTAGAGCAACTGTTGTGGAAAGTCAAGAAAAAGAGTTACAACAGACCAAAACAGACCTAGTAAATGCTTTCTTAAAAACGAAAAGTCAGGTAGGACATTACGCTGCAGATGGAACATATGTGCCAGCTGGTGGAACTTATATACCACCAAACCCTCCAAGAGAAGCACCTGCACCAGGACTACCTAGAACATTTACATCGTCACATGGACACAGACACAGGCATGCACCAAAACCAACACAACAACCAACACAACAACAACAACAACAACAACCAGCACAGCAACCAACAGTTCAAAACCCTGCACAACAACAACCACAAACAGAGCAAGGACATAAAAGAAGTAGAGAACAAGGAAACCAAGAATTCTTAAAAATGCTTAAAGAAGAGTGTGGTTTCCCAGATACTGTTGACTTTAGTGACAGATATAAAGAAGCTATTAGAAAGTTCAAGGATGGAAATACTGACCCGAACCTATTTAGCTTTATGGCTCAGCACCAAAACGGATATAATCTCAAACCTGGAAAATACAAGCTCGCTAAGGATATGATTTAATAGCATATCATCCAAATGACATGGATGAATTTACTCCGAGATATTTGATGTCAGAGCTAAATGACAATTCAACTTTCGTCATGAAACGCGTAAAAAATAGAGACGGAACGAAAGAACAAAAGCTTATGAATGCGGATGACGTAGATAGGGAAATTGTTGAAAACGGTCTCGGAATATATGAAATGCCAGCAGATGAGGTACAAGAAACTCCACAGGAAGAAGTTCAGATACAACCAGACATGGAAGAAATAGTTCAGCAACAACAGCTAGAAGAGCCTGAAGGAAACGAACAAGTCCTTCCTTTGGAAACTAACTTCACAGAACTAGATGAAGATTTGGAACAGCCGAAAAATCTTGACCCTCAACAAGAGTATGCGGAGAATATGGAATATTTCCAAGAGTCTAAAAAAAATTCGGCTGACATAGTAGAAGAATATCGAAAAATGTTTGCCGACATACAAAAGACTCCAGCACCAGATGAAAATATTCAGCATAGAATGGAAGAACTGAAAAAAAATGTACACAAATACAACAACCCTTTTTACTTACGAGCATTTAACGTTCAATCTTCGGATGAACTCGGTGAAGATAAAAGGTTAAATTTCAAGAAAACATATAGAAATGAAACATTGTTTAAAGTTCATTCAGAACCTAACCAAGATGGAAACAAACCTAACTTTTGTTTCTGCAGACGATGGAACTACAATGAGATGGGGTCATAAAGCTAACCCGGATAGGTGGTTCATAAACTTACAACCACAATTCCAAGAAGTTGTAGACGCAATGGAAGTGAATGGTGAACCAGATATAGCTGGTATTTTCAGCGCGGCTTTAATGCCATTGAAAGATATGAAACATGCAGATATTTTGGACCAGTATGAAATGAACATGGCTGATGGAAATATAACACCTGACGTTCTAAAACATTTATCTCAAAGAACTACACAGAACCATAGAGATGGTATATTTGGTGAAGAGTTTAGAAAGAAAGTTAGGGAGACAGAAGGAAGAGAACCTATTGTACATGACCTTGCAAACGAAAGTTTACAAAATGTCATAAAAACTTACTTTGCAGACAATGAACCGAGAAGGGATGAATATTTAAGAAAACTCAATTGGACAGTACCAAATGAAATGTTAGTATTGAAAAACATGTTCCTTGACAAAATAAAACCAACTACAGAAATAAACGACGCAAGACTGAAAGATTGGGTAAAAGCTTTCCCATTCACAAAAGATATAGTTGGTAACATGGAAAGAAAACCAGAATGGCTACAAAAACATATATTTGGAAACGAGCTTATTCCATATGGACAGGCTCTGTTTGAAGAGCTTGAACCGGAAACTCAGGAAAGAGTCATGCAAACAATACGCGAAGACTCAAATACAAACTATGACAAAATCTTTCTAGGATATAGGTTACCTGAGAGGGCGACCAGAGCCCAAAGGCAAAAAGGACATGGGAAATTTACAAACATACTAGGTGAACATGAGGCAAAGATGCAACAACTTCAAGCAGAGGGCAATGAAGGAAAAAGAAGAGTTAAAAACTCAGTCAGGAAGAAAGTAAAGCTTGGTCCACGTGGGTTCTATTATGACATATAAATCCAACTATTCTATATTTTTACTCATATGAAATGTACGCCGCTCAGAATATAACGCCAACAGTTTTGGATGCTATGAATGGAAATGTTTCCGAATGGTATAACGAATGCGACAATGCCATTAGAAGGTCAGAAATAGTTCCTGGAACTTACGAATATACAACTGCTGTTTCTTATGGAAACGTAGGTGAGTTTGGAGAAGGTTCTTCAACAACAGTAGATATTGCTTGCGACAGGTTTCATATAATTTCTATTGACAACTCTTTCTTATACGTGGAACAAGACATTGAAATAAAACCTTCTGCCAAGTTGTCTGACAAGAAAGGTTGCAATGGAATTTTCTATGTCGGATACCATATGCTCCAGAAGTTTCATGGGATATAAGATATATTCTAACTCTGACTTAGTTCAAACAGTAACATGGGCAAACTATGAATGGTTCGCTTTGAGAAACTCAGTACAACCACAAGCTAGAGAAAAACAGACCAGTATGCAACTATTGAGAAAATAAGAAGACTTGACCCTAACGTTCCAGGAGTTTATGTTAACCTTTCTGGACAAACTGCAGCAGCAGTAACCAAAGTAAAATTGAAACTTAGAGTTCCTTTGTCATCTTTCCTCATCTTCAGGTTTTAAGATACTTGCCAAACTGGGCAGGAAAATTTCTATCGAACTTACTCCAAGCAAAAATAACTTAGTCATTGCACCAACACAAGACCCATTCACTCTTACAGAAGTAGTGGGAACAAATAAAATGTCATTCGCCGACTTTTTGCAAAAACAAAGTTGACTTAGACTTTGGTTTCTCAAACCTCAACACTGAAGTAAACTATTATTTCAATGCTGCTGGAGATGCTTGGGACCCAGTTAAGTTCACATGCGAAAAGTTTGAATGCAAGAGAATAGAAAGCAGACTTGCAGTCTATATGTTGGACCCAGATATTTCAAATGCTTTAGCTGCCAAATATATTGCAGTTCCACTTATGTTCCCTATACACCAAATATCTGTCAAAGACTTTGCAGGTGAAGTTGGAAACCAAAGTGCTGACCCAGGTGCAAGAACAGATATTGCTTTAACAACTGCAATGAAACATGCAGATACTATGTTGTTTTTTTCAGACGAACTATAAATGACTATTCTTGTTTCTACAACCCTGGTATTAAATATCATATAAACATAGATGGCAAATATTATCCAAGAGAAGAATATTCTACAGTTGAGGATATGAGGTCATACAACTTGACATTAGATGCTATGAACTTTAACAACAACTTCACACAACCATTAACCCTGAAATGCAAAGTTCTATTATGCCATATGTGAAAGTATGGACTCATACAGGAGGTCAAAAAACTCAATATACAAATGGAGACCGTTCAAACTTTTGGCTTGGCATTCCATTTGCTGACTCAGAAGACTTTATGGGTGGTATTTCAACTGTTGGTACTGTACAAATACAATATACTGGTGACAGAGACGGTCCAGATGAACTGAGAGCAAAGAAGTTTACAAAACCAATAGCACTTTTCACGGAAGATGCTCTTTTGAAGATTCGTTCGATGAAAACCTGCTGGGGCTCCTCAGATTGGCATAACGACAGCTTCCATCGAGCAGATTTTGGCAGCAGGTCAGTAAGTTGTTCTTGAACTGACTTCTCTCCGTCAAATATTGACAGTACGCCAGTTTTGATATAATATTGTATTAAAACTTCCTTTAGAAATATCGGTCAGTTTTGTTGTTATATTTTTGTCTGCTTCAAGAACTTTCACCATCTCGGTTATACCAACTTTCTTTGCTTTATGAAAATATTTTGGTTCAGCAAAGACTGCTATTCTATAACATTTACCATTGTTTGTAAAGAACTATTCTGTCAATGTATTTGTATTGTTTGTGTGTGTAAACTTTGTTCTGCTTCAATTCGAAGAGATACTCGAATACGTCCATCTTTTTATTCTAAGTAAAATGTCATTTCCGAAAAATAGAAGCGTGAGTGTTTCAAAAGGTTTAATGGCGGTGGCAGATGTGAAGTTAAATTCACCAACTCAAACAAACAGTCAAAGTGTTGTTGTCAATGTCAAAGACAGAGATGTTGAAGTGGGGAAACCATACGAAGACGAAGATGGTATAACAATGTTCCTGTAAAAGAACAACCAACATATCCTGAAGTTAGCAGAGACTTAAGTTCTGTTGCAGATATTCGAAACGACTACCAACAACTGAAAGACAAACTTCAAACTCAGGAGAAGATTTGTCAAGCTTTAGGTATAATGTTAAACTTGGTCGAACACAACCCTGTAAAAGTGAACTCATATGTCATTGCACCTCATGAAGTTTTGAAAGAACTATTGAAACTTTTGACAGAGGCAGACGATATAAACATCAAAGAAATAGAACCCGACATTAGTTGCTGTGGTGTTTCATATAATGTCATTGACAAGATATACGTTATGAAAGGAGGTGAAACGTTGAACTTAAAATATAGTTTCCCAGACGTATAAAAATATTTGACGACCACAACATTTCATTAAAATTTATTTGCTAAGTAAATGGCAGAAGACATAGTGGTTTATACTATTACGACTAAAAACCCTGAGTCATATAATTCTATAACAACAAACTTACAAAGTCCTCAAGGACGATATTGTAAACTAACCTTAAACACAATGACGACTAAAGCCTGTTTTGCTCTTTTGACACCAGAAGACTTTATTGTTGTGAATGGTAAAAAATACTCCTTTGAAGATACTTACTCAGATATACCACCAACAGGTTTTGTTGACTTATTTAATACTTTAAGTACGGGTGTAACATGTGCTGCAACTAGAGCAGGTTTCATTATGTTTGGATGTCCGACTGAGTTTACTATAAACGATATGAGCTATAATACAAAACTTATTTCTGGTTTTTACTACCAACAGTTTCCTATAACAGGAAAAGGTGTCATACAAGGAATGTCTATTCCATTGACATTAAGCACACCAATCTTATATATTGTTTCAAACTTAGGTTCAAAGTGTTATTCGAATGTCGACAGAAACTATTATGACCAAAAGATACTTATGCGTATAAACAATACTTTCTCTGCTGGTTTGCCTATTGTTCATTCGAATGCAGAATTTTCAACCTTAGTGAACTCAAACACTTTGGCAACATAAACTTAACTTAGTTGACGCAAACTTTGTTCCTGTAAAACTTTTATGTCCTATGTATTTGTCAATGACGGCAGAAAGTTTCGAATTGGAAGATGCAACTGGTGAAAGTATTGTATTACAAGAACAACTTCAACAACAAATAGCTCAAGAACAACAAATGCAACAAATAGCTCAAGAACAAAGTCAAGAATAAAAAAAAATATTTTTTTTTATTTTTATAAAAATGTACAGAATAGATGTTTCAGATTTTTATGACTTCCAAGCATTCAGAAATATGTGTCCATTTAGAGACTATAACAAAGCAGTCGAGAATTTGAAACGTTTAGTCATTTATGTTGACTCTGCCCCAGAATGTTATGTCATGAAAGAATGGGATGTTGTCTTTAACAAACCAAGAGCAACAATAGTTTCAGAACAAGAATGTAGACAGAAACTTAAGAAAATAAAAGTCGTACAAGTTGGCATGAAGATGTTAGATGCTTGGGATATCTTATTGTCAAAACTTGAAGATTTTTCAGTTCGAGGTATAAAGTTCTATACACCTTCTCCAAACTTCTATTCTATCTTCACTGGATATAAATATGAACAAGTAGAATGGAAAGAAAATATTATAGAAGCTTGGTTAGACCATGTCAAAGAAATTATATGCAATGGAAACGAAAAAGGTTTATGAGTATATCTTATGTTGGTTTGCAAATATCTTACAACATCCAAGTGCAAAAATGAAACTGCTCTCATTATAATTGGAAAACAAGGAACTGGTAAGAACACATTCTTTACAGATATCTTATGCAAACTGTTAGAGGGCTATTCGAACCCGAATATGACAAACTTAGAAAACATCTGTGGCAAGTTTAACTCCTCAATAGAGAATATGAAACTTATAGTATGTAACGAACTTCAAAGTATAGATACAACAAAAGTTTTGAACTCAGATGCTTTGAAGAGTCTTATAACAGACAAAGTTGGTGTTGTTGAAAGAAAGTATAAAGACCAAAGAGTTTGTGAAAATGTTGCAAACTTCATTATGGTTTCAAACAATGTTGTTCCGATGAAGTTAGAAAGTTCTGACAGAAGATATGTAGTTGTCAGAACGTCAGAAGCTCATATGCAAGATACAGAATATTTTGACGCTTTGTCAGAAACTTTGACATCTGACTTTTACAACCACTTGTTCTCATATTTTATGACATTAGATATTTCTAAGTTCAATCCAAGACAAATTCCACATACCGAAGAAAGACAAACATTGTTAGAAGCAAACAAGAGTGTATATGAACTGTTCATAGATGAAACTGACTTTGAGTGTTTAGATGAAAGGTCATTGTACGATTCGTATAAACAATATTGTCAAGAATATGGTTATATGGCAGCTTCTAAACGAACATTCTTGGCAAATGTCAAAAGTCTTTTAGATATACAGAACGGCGTATATACAAAGAAAAATTTTTCTGAGTAAATTTAAAAAAAATATTTTTTTATCCGATAGAAAAGATGACGAAATTCATCTCAGTAAATAAGTACATGTCAGGACTTAAAGAAGAACTAGACCCATTCACATATTTGAATGTTTACTTCTACCATTTTGAAAAGTCTACATTTGACAAAGTTTGGAACATCGAACCAGTTAAGTTTGCTATTGTGACTAAAAATGGTGCGAAATTTGAAGACTTAGACATAGAAGGTTTGTTAACAGTCAAAGAAAATTTTGACAGAAGGTTCTCAAACCTTAAAGAAGGCAAAGCATACAAACTTGTTATACCTTATGAACCAAAGAAAGCAGACGACTATGAATATTATGAGTCTAAGATAGTTGAAGTTCAAGGTAAATTGGGTAAAAAGATTTTAGAGTCTAAGCCAGTGTTTGCCCCTAAAGAGGAAGAGAACATTGACATTGACCCAGAAATGTTCTAAAAATAAAATTTTATTTTTACATTGTCATATCTCACCTTCTCTGGAACTGGTTCAGGTTCTTTCTTCTCTTCTACTTTCTTTTTCTTTCTTTTCTTTCTTCTTCTTTTCTGGTGGAGTTATGTCAAATTTCTCAGAACCATATTTTGTAAAAGTTCTTTGTCCTTTAATAGCTCTTCTATTCTGTTTTCTATTTCATCTTCAAGAACAGCGCATGTGCCTTCTTTGCATTCTAAGAACTTTTGTTGGACTTCATCTTTCCAATCGGCGTCATCTCTGTCAACAAGTCTGTCATTGACAAATTTTAAGACTGCTCTTTGTAATGTTTTATGGTTCTTGTCATATTCCCAGAAACAGAACTTTAGAACAAATTCACCTTTCTTGTTTACACTATGTAAGATTTTATGGTCGACAGATGTTTTGCTGTCGAAAAGCTTGTCTCGAATATAGATAGCGAAATCGCTAGACATTTCAAAAAGATAAAAATTTTAATTTTTCTAAAAATATGTTAGAAAAAAGTTTGCTGACATTGACAAAAAATTTGAGAATGTTTTAAACAAGAACAAGAGGAAGTTGGAAAATGCTCAGATAAAACCCATACATGACAAGTTCTTATTTGCTCAGAATGGTATAACAGGTCTAATCGCACCACCTGGGTCGGGTAAGACTTTCACTTATCTTAAAATGGCTGCACAACAACAAGAACTAGATGAGAAGAACCCATTCTATGAGTTAGTTGTTATTTGTTCGACATCTGGTCAATTCGATCAAACCGTCAATTCGTTCAAAGATATTATAAAGAAGTCTAAGTTAGTATGTATAAAGGATACTGAGTTGTTAGATTGGATAAAGAAGTACCAAAGAAGAGTTTTGAAGTACAATGCTATAAATGAGTATATAAATTCGAAGTTTAAAGACCCAAATGAGGAAATGCAGAGAATATTAGAGAAGAAACACTTCAGAAACAAACAGAAAGAGATAGAATACATTTCGAAGAAATTGCAATCTTACGATTGGAAGACTTACCCTCATAGGTGTCTTCTTATCTTAGACGACTTTGCTTCTCATCCTTTGTTAAAGAACAGAGAACAAGATATGTGTCGAATTCTTAAGAAGCTCAGACACTTTAACATCTCTGTTGTCATTTGTGTACAGACAGCCAAGAGTTTAAGTAAGGATGTAAAGAGAATACTTACTGACATTATACTTTTCCCAGGATTGTCAGAAGACGATTTCATGGAACTTATGAAAGAGTCCATGGCAGGTAAGTTTGACAGACATGAACTATGGGAGAAGTATAAAGTCATACAAGACCCTCATACTTCTTTCAGAATTCATATCTACGCAAACAAAGTTCAAATTGTAAAAAGTCAAGACCAAAAATAAAGAGTTCATTTACTCTGCTTGTTTGAAGTTGTCAAAATACTCTGTTATTTTTTCCTTTAACAGTGGCAAATCTTCTTTGAAGGTAAGTATTGTACAACCTTTCATATCATAGTGTGTTTGAGGTAACGTATCTTGAACTATTTGTTTCACATCTTCATTCGGTGTCATTGAAATCGGTAAGTTTTCGCGATAGAACCAATTTCTGTCAGATTTGTAAATCTTAGCAAGGTCGTAAAAGCTTTTGTTGTTTCTTCTGACTAAATGCAACATAACCATATCTTTATCTTCTTCATTTTCCATCTCTTCAGTATAAATCATATACTTATAGTTCTTTTCCTTTCCTTTTGGTACCGAACGTGGTATTCTTTTCTGAATGCTTTTGTCTTTTGCTTCAATGACTTCATCTTTTGCTTGAAGTTTCTTTTCCATCTCTTCACGTTCTTGTCTATGAATTTCGTCAAGAAGTCTGTAAATATACCAAGCATAACGAGGTGAAGCCCACATTGCAACAGCATTTACAAGAAGTCTATGTACATAATATCCTCTCAAACCAGGAGCCAAATTCTTGCGATTTTCATGAGTTTTAGGCAAGACCGATTTTTCTCGGTCTAGAGAAATTTCACTCAAAAGTTCTTGTGTGCTTTGGTTCCTAAACCAATCGTCTGCGTGTTTAGTATCTGGAGCAAAACATGCTGTCAAAATACTTTGCATTTGGTACATATCGTCTTTGACCGAACGAATGAGACGGAGTTGTTTGTTAAACTGAACCCACTCATATTCTTCATTTATAGCTTCATGGACTATAACTGTTGTTGTGTTCTCTGTTGTTGACATATCTGTCTTTACATACAAAATAAAAAAATAAATAAAAATAAAACTAACTTTATTTTTTCTATCTTAAGGAAATTCATGATTTTTGTTGCTGAATTCAATAAAAATAATGTTTAGGTGAAGAGGTGAAGCCCACATTGCTACAGCATTTACAAGAAGTCTATGTACATAATATCCTCTCAAACCGTTTGGCAATTTTTTACGATTTTCATGAGTTTTAGGCAAGACCGATTTTTTACCTACTCGCTGTTCTTTTACGATTTTCATAGAGTTTTGGCGACCCGCGGTTTTCTACCGGTCGCAAACATATGAGAAATTTCGCTCAAAAGTTCTTGTGTGCTTTGGTTCCTAAACCAGTCTTTAGGAAGCTTAGTATCTGGAGCAAAACATGCTGTCAAAATACTTTGCATTTGGTACATATCGTCTTTGACTTTCACAAAAGACCAAAAATAAACGCTTTACATGTATTTTTCAGCAACTTCGTCAAATAATTTTATAGCACTATCTATCTCATCTACTTCAAACGTTTCTTTACCTTTCGTGGGAGCACCATACATTTTCTCAAACTTTTCAAGTAGTTCTGTTTCAGCAGCTCTCATATCATTAACAAACACAACCTTAACTCTATTGACTATACTGTCATATCTTTGAGTTATATTAAATGTTCTTCCTATCTTATATCTCTTTGTATTGAAGTCCTTTGGTTTCTGAACGATGTAAAGTAAGCCTTCACTGCAACGTTCCGTATCGAATGAACCATATGTTATGAAATTATATCCAACAACTGGGTCAATCCAGAACAAAACTACTGGTATAAGACTTTTGTCGATGAGATATGCTCTTGTTCCATAGAATCTTACCGATATCATAAGCTCAGGATTTTTTGTCAAAATTTTCTGAGTAGAAGCATTTTTAACCCAGTCGTGGGATGTTTTCTTTTCAGATAGTGTTAAAATGTCTGACAAAGAATATTTTTTGTATTTCTTTGAGTATCTTACGTTTAAATCACCTATTCTAACTATTTTGGTCTCATTGTCTATCTTTCTAACTGTTTCAAACTCAATGTTTAACATTTTCTGTTCTTACATACAAAATAAAAAAATAAAAAAAATAAAACTAACTTTTTTTTCTATCTTAAGGAAATTCATGATTTTCATACGGAATCTCTATCCTCGGTTTTTCGAGGGTAGCAATCTTATGAGGAAATTCATGAAATTTGGTCATTTTTCAGCAAAAATAATGTTTATGTTAGAATGTTAGATCTAACATGTTTTCTAACACGTTTTCTAACATGGTCTAAAACACACAAAACTCATGAAATTTCATACGGAATTCAGCAAAAATAATGTTTATGTTAGAATGTTAGATCTAACATGTTTTCTAACACGTTTTCTAACATGGTCTAAAACACACAAAACTCATGATTTTTGTGCTGAATTCAGCAAAAATAATGTTTATGTTAGAAGGTTAGATCTAACCTCTTTTCTAACCTCTTTTCTACCCCAGTTATTTTATAAGCGTTTTACATGGTAAACGTTATGAATTCGTGAGACTTTAAACAGTTTTGTAGCTTCGATTTCCTCTGTCAGTACATCGAATGTTTTAACTATGCCGAAAGTCTCTTTATATTTCTTCTTGACATCAGATAGAAGGAAATCTTCTGCTGTTGGATAGTTTTTGTTCAGAAATTCTAACATGTTCATTTTATCTTCTGCTGGTTTCTCTACTTCTTTCTTTAAATCTGCATAGTCGTTTCTCATTCTTTCTATCTCTTTGACGGAGTAGTTATATTTCCTCATTGCTGCCTTACATTTTGAACATTGCGGGTTCATTTTAGCATTGTACATTGAAATTTGTCCTGCAAGTACAACTAAAGCGTCAATGGTTTTCTTTAACTCAAAACATGCAGGTTTTATCTGTTCGTTCCATACTTTACCTCTTCTATCTTTATCTCTTATCTGCCATACACATTCAGCAACTAACGAAACAAAGTTGTCGTAGGTCTTAAACTCCCCAGATTTATATATGTCAGAGATGTTCTTATATACCATATCGCAGTCTTTGTCCATAACCTTATGGTTGCAATGAAATCCTAGAAACTCATAGTTTACCTTACGAATGAACTTCTTTATTTCTACCGAGTCGGTTGTTTTTACTTCTATTTCGTCAAATTCGGGAATAGTAAGCTTTTGTTGTTGGATTTCAGGAAGTTTGGGTAGATGGTCGATGAGGTCCTGCATGTCGTAAAGATACTGTCCATTTGTTTCATCCTGTGCGGTGCAATCTAAATTATTTGTTAAAAGTTCTTGCTTTATCTTCTGGATTGTTGTTTCGAAAGTATATGAAGAAGGAATGAAGCTTTTCATCTCTACTAACATAGATGTTGGATTCATGACTAAAGAGTTTGGTGCTGTTGTTGCTAACATGTTCTTACAATAAAAATAAAAAATATTTTTTTTAAAAAACTAACTTTATTTTTTATGTTTTTTGTGAAAGTGTCAAAACTCATGAATTTCATGAGTTTTCTACGATGTTAGAAAACGTGTTAGAAAACGTGTTAGATCTAACATTCTAACATAAACATTATTTTTGGGTCTTTTACGCTCATTACGAAGAAGAAGTCTTAACAAAACATTTACGATGAAGAAGTTTCGACAAAACATTTACGATGAAATTCATGAAAATTCATGAAAATTCAAGAGGTTAGAAAAGAGGTTAGAAAAGAGGTTAGATCTAACCTTCTACCCTAAATTATATTTTTGCCGAATTCTGTATAAAACTCATGAGTTTTCTACGATGTTAGAGAAAACATGTTAGAAAACATGTTAGATCTAACATTCTAACATAAACATTTATTTTTGTCGAAAAAAATGGTTCATTTACTCACAATATTTTTGTACAAAACAACCCCAAGCTTTTAACCTCTCTTCTGCAGCTTCTAATGCTATCTTAGCGAGTTCATATTCTCTAAATTCTCTCTTTAAATCTTCTTGTTCCCATTGGTCTAGTTCGTATGGCGAGTCTCTATAACCAGAACATATCTCACGTTCATGTTCTATTTGTTTAAGCACATTTTTTCTAACTTCTTGTTCGAACAAAGGTTTAGCATTCTTTACTGTATCTTCAAGTTCTTCTTCATCTAATTTCTCATGAACTTTCTTGTCTATGGAGTCCAGAATTTTTCCAACTGCTATACAATATTTTGGAGAAGCCCACATTGCTATATAGTTTATAAGTCTTGGGTCTACATACATTCCTCTAACCTGTTTGATTTCATCCGGAATTCCTGCATGAACTGTGTATAAAAAGCAACCCGCTGTTTTCCGCGGGTTGGTATATTCTTCACAAAATGCCTTAAAATACTCTTCCCAGGACTTATTTTCCAACAACCTTCTAAAGTCTTTCCTAAACTGCTGACACATATTTGTTGCATTTATATAACCATCCTTGTCTCTACGTAAGACTTCAATACCGTTGTAAGTGCCTTTTGTGAATGTTTCGCCATTAGATTTGTTCGTGAACGTTTTTGCTTCGACTGTCATACTGTTCTTACAATAAAAATAAAAAAAATATTTTTTGGTGGGACGTCGGACATTCGTTTGTGGCTTAACCGTCGGACCACAAACGATAAAAATCTCTGCTCCTAGCAGTACTGCTACTGACAGTAGCAGTACTTTTACTGACAGTAGCAGTACTTTTACTGACAGTAGCAGTACTTTTACTGACAGTAGCAGTACTTTTACTGACAGTAGCAGTACTTTTACTGACAGTAGCAGTACTTTTACTGACAGTAGCAGTACTTTATCGTCGAAAACCCTCTCAAATTTTCCTTTTTACTGACGGTAGCAGTACTTTTACTGACAGTAGCAGTACTTTTACTGACAGTAGCAGTACTTTTACTGACAGTAGCAGTACTTTTACTGACAGTAGCAGAGATTTTTATCGTCCAACCTTACAAATGTAAACTTATATCGTTCTATTTTCTTCACTAGGGTCTAACACCAAAGTAACCTTACAAATGTAAACTTATATCGTTCTATTTTCTTCACTAGGGTCTAACACCAAAGTAACCTATGTACATGAAATTTCACTGCATAAAAGGAAAAAACCTGCGCGAATCGGGATTTGAACCGAGGTCTTCGACGCCTTTAACGAGGTAGCCCATACCACTGAGCTATGAGCCGCTTACATATTCACAAAAATAAATTGTTTTCATGAGTTTTCTACGATGTTAGAAAACGTGTTAGATCTAACATTCTACCCTAAAAGTATTTTTCAATACTTTTTCAGCACTTTTCCGTAGTTGTATATGAAAGACAATTCGAGATAAAAGTCATAGTACAATGGAATAATATGTTGCACACCATTTGTTGTGAACCAAACTTGAAAGTCAGAGAAACTGTTACTAGGTGGTTCGTAGAATTTAGAAGCAAAGTCATAAAAGTCCTTGCCAATACATAGAAAACTATTGTTGCTTGAACTGAAACTTGCATGACACATAACATTTTGAGGGTCAAACACGTTTCTATAAACTGTCAAATCTGCTGGTGGATGTATAAATTTAAAAGGACCGTCAGGTGGTAATGGTTCGTTCTGGTTTAGTAACCGAAGAAATTGTGCCCAAGAACGTTTGTCTACTTGCCAAAATAAAAACTGTGTATCTCTTGGAGGGTTAATTTCAATCTTTTGAAATGAAACGGTGGAGTTCATCTTATCGTATTCTAGTTTCAGATAGTACGTTCCGTTTAGTAAAGAGTCGTATTTTTCTTGAAATTCCCAATAGTATTTGTTTATTTGAGTTTGAAAGTCATTTAGAGTTTTCTCAAGACTTTCGTCTGAACGAACTGTAAAGATTCTCATTTCGTCAAATTTGTCTATTAGACCATCATCACCTTTATACTGACCATGAAAATCTACTGCGAACATAAATGCGTTAGTTCTATTTGAAAACAAAACTCTTCTAAATCCTATTGCCTTTGCTTCTGAAGGACTTTGAAGCCAACGAATTGGATAGTCAAACTTGTATGTTCGGGATGAAATTTCTTCATCTGATACAGTCCTACCGGCATTTGTAAAGATATAGTCTAACGGTTTTGTATCTGCTACTTTTGTTCTTTGTTTTTCAACCTGAAACATTTAATATATGTAAAAATATACTGTTTTAAAAGTAAACGTTTTTACTTCATATTTCTCATCTAACAAACATGTTGTCTGACTGCTTGAGGGTTAGGTTGGTACCATTCGAACTTTACACTTGCAATTCCTTCAATTGCATTCAAAATATCGGAGTCTGAATCAGCCATTTGTTCTCTCTTTGTAGTCTTGAAAGCGTCAAGAAGCATTGCAGCTGTTGTGACATTGCCATGTGCATAGTATATATGACCATCCAAATCTGTTACGGTTAGTCTGAGATTGTATCCTTTCTTATTTCCGTCTTGTATGGCAGCAAGTACACCCATGAAGCCTTCTTTGTTCTTTCCATCGTCAAAGTTTACTGTAAAGGTTCGACCGGATGTAATTTTACTTCTAACTTCACGATACTTTTCATATGCATATCTTGTTCTTTCCATGGGAGCATGACCATCCTCTGCACTACCTTTTTTCCTTCTCAAAGGATGCAATTGTTCGTCATGTTTCCAGTAGAATCTGGCAAAGCCGTCGTGTCCTTCAACTTGAGGCTCACTAACATTGAAAGGCAAGTTCATAAGACGTTCTTCTTCTAACCTCTCTAGTCTGTTTGGATAATTGGCGCGCGCTGTTTCCAAGTCCATCTCGTAGGTCAGACCAGACAATTTGTCATAGACTTTTATGGGTCTTCCCTTCCTATATTTAAACTTCTTCGAAACTCTCCAACCATATCTTTCTAACTCTGCTTTTATTCTAGCAGACCTTCTGTCCATTCTATATGGGGGCATTTTTATAAAAATAAAAAAATATGTTTTTTTTCTTTACTTTACATAACCGCCTGCTGCCATAAGTCTTTGACGCCAACCCATACCAGCTAATGAAGGTTGACTTGGTTTAGTTTGGAAACTAAACTTTGTTTTTGGTTTATCTTCAGTTTTTGGCTCACCTTCTTCTATCTGTTTTTCGTCACTTTTCGGTTCACCTGACTTTACTTCACTTGCAGGTATAGTTGTGTCGTCAACATCTTCATAAATATCATATGCCATTTGTTTTTGTTTTCCTTTCAACTTTTTGTGTTTGTTGTAAAGTTTAGAATATTTCGACTCTAAGTCAATGAGATGTTCTATAATGAACTGTTGATCGGTGAAGTAAACTTTTCCATCTGTTGTCTCTTTAGTTCCTTCAGACTTCAATATTTTATTTGTGAGAGTCTGTTTCTTTTTTGAGATACTAGCCGTTCCATTTCTATGAAAAGTGACTTTATAGTTAGGGTTTGTATTTCCAGACCTGGCACTTTCTATTATTGAATTTTTCTCTTCATCTGTAAGTTCTTTGACAGGTTTTGACAATGGTTCTGAACTTTTTGTTTGTGGTGTCAAATCTACCGTTTCAACTTCTTCGGTCATTTCATCTCAGTAAAAAATTTTAGTTTGGTTTGTTTTCAACTGGTTGTTGTTGTTTTTTAAGTCGGTCTAAAACTTCCTGAGGTATAGGAAGAACTTGACAAACACGTTGTGTAACTGCTGGAAGTCGACAAATCCATCTTGAACCCATTTGTCTCAATGCTGTATTGTTCATTTCATCTCAGTAAAAAACTTTACATTCCCCAAGTTTGAGGTGGTTGCGGTTGGTTATTGTTTACCCACTGTTGTGCATGGTTATATCCTCTGTTAAAGAATCTTTCACCTTGGTCCATATAGTGTCCTGCTTGGTTATAGTAGTCATTTGCTTTGTTATAATAGTTTCCTGCTTGTCTTCCTACATTGTCCATCCATCCTTGAACTTTTTCTTGTTTCAGGATTTGGAATAAGATTTGCTGCATCTCGTGCTACATCCCAACCTTTCTGTACAGTTTGTATAATAGGTTGTGCTTTCTCTTTCAGTATACCTAATGTACTCAAAATCTTCCTTCCAACTCCAAATACACCTCTGGCTATTGTTCCCACTGCGGGCAAAAATCTGGATGCAACTCCTGCTAATGCGCCAAATAAACCCATTTCTTATGGTTAAAAAATGACGAATCCAAACAAGGACCCCTATGTTTCTAAGGCAACAAAGAAAGCACTCATGATAAAAATCTTTAGTTCAACACCAAATGCTTGGTTTATGGATATCTTGGAAAACATTCCGAGGTATAGAGAAGATGGACCACCATACTGGCTAATATTTGTCGGTCAAAACACAAGATACTGTGAAGCCATACCATTACAGTCCAAAAATATTTTAGATGTGAAAACTGCTTTGACAATATTCGTTGACAAATACCATCCAACAAAACTGACATCTGACTGTGAAAGTTCTTTCAAATCAGATGATGTAAAAAACTATCTGCGTTCAAAAAATGTAAACCAATATTTCATTGTCGACCAAAACCATTCTGCTCTTGGTGTCATTGACAGTTGTATAAAAATCTTAAGAGACTTAAACCAACCACAAGGTGGTGAGGTAGATGAAATGTCATATGACGACAAGTATAGACATTTCTCCATGGCAAAGATGAGACAAGTTTTAAATATTTACAATAGCCGTAAACAAAAAGGTTTGGGAAACCACTCCCCCGAAGAAATGAAAAACAACCCTGACTTAGAGAAAGACTATATATTTAATAGTTTAGTCAAAAGAGACAAACAAGAAAGAATGCCAGGCTTCAAACTTCAGAAAGGTGACAAAGTAAAAATAGAAATACCTAAACGCGACCCATATGAAAATACTATTGACTATGACAACAATGGGAACCCGACAGGTACTCACATTCGTGTTCGTAAAAATAGAAGAAAGTATACAAGAGAATATTATGAAGTTTTAGGCAAACATGGCAAAATGTACAGACTGCAAGCAGAAGATAAAACGACTATTGTCAGACCTCGTTTCAAACTTGTTAAGGTTCAAGGTGGTATACTTTCAAAGACAGTTCCTAACAAATATAAGACAACTCCTGACGAATATGCTAAAGAAGTTGAAAATGACGACTAAGCAATTCTATACCATGCACAAACTGTCATGTAACGTGGCATGTATTTTTTACCTCGTCCTGTAGATGTTGTTGTAAAAGTATGTTGGTGGTTTCCTCCTGGTTCAGTTTGTCGAAAAGTCTTTTTTGCTGAATGGTTATAATCTGGAGATAAAACGTCATAGCCAGCTTCATACTCTGAGTTGTATAATGGGTGGTCTCTTAATGAGTGGCTATGGTCACCAGAAAAGTTTGTAGTTCCTGTATGAGTGTGCGGTGGAAGGTTGTCGACAGATATCCTTTTGCTTCCACCTGTTTCCTTTGAAGAGTTTGCACAATACAAAAACCTTTCGAGTATTTGAGTCCAAGTTCCAAAACCAAGTACTACTTCTGGTCTGGTAGAGTTCATTGACGTATAAATAGAGCCTATAGGATATAATGTTTGAAGTATTTCTGTCTTTAATGTTTGAAGCTCTGTTTTGTCTGCTTTCTTGTCATATAAATCTTGAGCAGTGAATTTAACTTTATTTTCATCCTCCATGACATAAACATCTCTACATCTAATGTATCTCATCGTTGTTATGTTTTTATCCGATGTTAAACCTTCTGGAAAGTTAGGAGGTTTCCAATCTAATACATCCCCACCAGTTTCTTCAACCGTTCCTGCAATATTTTCTATAGCAACAGTTGTAAAACTTGTATGTGTATGGTTCTTGTCAGCTTTGTCATCTAACTTTTCTTGTAAGTTTGCAATATTTGCAATGGTATGTGTATGTCCAACGTCACTTTTCCTGTTTAAGGTTTCTTGTAAGTTTGTAATATTTGCAATGGTATGTGTATGGTTCTTGTCGGCTTTAAGGTCTAAACACCCTGAAACCCATCCTGTATCGGCTTTAGCTTTTAAAATCTTCATTGTCCGTTCATGGTACCAGTCAACCCTTTCTTTAATTTCATTGTCTTTTTCATCCACATATTCCTTATCTGCCTTCTTCACTAACGCACTAGCCACACATGCTAACTCATCGTCAACATATGTTTTATCTGCTTTCTTTTCAACATCCTCTTTCGTTGCATAAGCTTTGTTAGCTCTTTCTTCTTCTTTTGCTATTGCATCGTCTACATACTCTTTGTCAGCTTTGTTGTCAACATCTGCTTTCAAAAGAAGTTCATCTATAGGTTTCTCGTTTAAAGTTCGTTTTGTTGGATTTATACAAACAGTATGGTTCTTATTGTCTTGAAACAGAAACTCATCTGTCATTGGGTTTAATGTCAGTTTTAGGTTTCCTTCTTTCAATGACTCAGATATCTTAGAATAGTTTGAAAAGTTTGTTGTGTTCTTATTTAGAGCTTGCATAATGAGTTGTCGGTTGTGTTGTATTTCTCTCATAGACGCTGTTTCATTTGACATTTTTATTCTAGATAAAATATGCTTCCAATAGAAAAAGAAAATTCAAGAGTTGCTACAACTAAACCATTAGATGAACTTTTTACTAATGTCGGTCAAAAGTTTGAGACAGAGACCGTAAAGCATGAAGGCTATCGTTTTGACTACCCATTAAGATGGTTAAGAGACCCATCCGTCACAAAAGCTATTGGCTTTCGTAGAATGAAATTCATTTCAGAAGCCATACATGGTTTCCCATTTACGGTCGCTTTTGAAATTCGATACTATAACAAAGAAAAACATACGTATGAGAAATTTGAACAGGGAAAACTTTTACAAGTGAATTTGCTTGTAAACTTAGAAACAACTCTTCAAGCTTTTCAAGAAAAAATAAACGATATCTATCTCGAATATGCAAACCAGTATAACATTGACGAAGGAGAGTACCATCTCGATATTATATTGACAGGAAAAATGCAACTGTTAAAATCAATAAAATAGAAGACCTTGGAGAAAACGTTTATATTTCTACAAAATATAACAACTTGGCATGGCATAGATTTTTGAGGATGTTAAATCAGCCTGCATGGTATCCAGTACACCCGGACTATTATGAAGTCGAAAACCCTAATGGAACATATGAAAATGTTTTCGACTCAGATGCTATTATAGTTCATGCTTCATTTTCTGGTGCGCAAACTCTTTTTTATGCTTGGCAAATGACTTTTACGAAAAACCTACAAAGCTATATGAACCACGAGTGGAAGTATTTCGGATTTTCAAGTATGGTTTACTACAGATGGAAGAAAAGAATAGTTTAATACGCGTTTTACTTAGAACTTAGTTTCATATACAACTACTATCGAACGGTAAAAATATAATTTTTTAATACGGTTGAGGTGTTGGATTTGGTTGCCAACTAGACTGTGGTGCAGGTTCAGGCTGTTGTATAACAGGAGCTTGCTCTTCTGGTTCAGGGTCTTTAGGTATAATACCAACAAACTGACCTACCCTTTTACCAATATTTTTGACTCCGTTCCATACTCCTCTTCCGACAGATTTTATTCCATTCCATATACCTCTTCCAACATTTCGAAAGAAGTTTCCAATACTACTGAAGAAACCCATTTTACTATATGTAAAAATCTAATGTCCGCCTAGTCTCTTACGTTTCCTGTTGAGTTCCATAGCATTCTTTAACTGGAGCTCATACATTCTGTTTCTCCTCTGGTAGAAAACATATTCTGGGTCAACTCCTGTGTTCGCGTCATCTGCATAAAGTTGTTTATATCCCACTTCAGGGTTTGTATAAAACTCTTTCCATCTCATATTTGCATACCATGGTGGCAAACCTAACGCAGCGTCATTTGACATGGCAGTTTGCATTTGTACATCTGTTGGCACTTGACCATAGTTTGCCATTGCAGTTTGTATTCTAACTTCATTTGGAATATTCGCTGGGTTTGGTTGTCCAGGTTGCTGTGCATTCGCTAAGTTCTGTGCGTCCATTTAATATTAGATAAAAATATCTCTTACGAGTACATATACTGAACATTTGCAGGCATTGGTTCATCTTCATATTCTCTGTACTTTTCTGCCACGTCAAATAAATAAATGACACAATGGAAAAAACCTAAAACAAGTAGTCCTATTTCAAACCACATTTACTTACTAATAAAATTTCTTTGTTATGACACTTTCTCCAGTTTATAGGACCTCTCTCATATTCTATCTTATCGTATCTAAACTCATAGTCATGTATGTCCTCTAACCATCTCATGACACTTTCCAAACCACTTTTATCGGATGTAAAGTAAAAGCATGGATGGTTATGTAAAACGTCTAAAGTTTCTAAAGAGTCTCTCAAAGTCCAGTCTACTGGTATTGAAAATCCCATGTGTTATAAGAACGGCGGGTCCACTATAAAGAAAACATTTTCCTTGTCTTTATATTTTTCATAAATCTGTCCAATGACATCTCACAAACTCTATACCCTCAATATATTTTTCTATGTCCTCTTTGAAAACATTTGTATAGTTAAGATATAAAACTTTTGACATAAGTGTTTCAATGTCATGAACTCTTATAGAACCACTATATAATAGTCTAGCAGATATACTATCCCAGTCTATATATTCTGCTTTTTTCAAAACCTCTCTCACAATATTTTTCTTATCTAATGGTATACGTTCCATCTTACCTATAGGTATCTTTTCTTTTAACTCTTTCAATATATTGTTTGTGTCTGGAATATGTTTGAGACGGTCCATATAGTTGTCGAAGTCATTGCATATAATCTTTGAGTCTGGGAATATTATATGGCACAAATGGGATATATAGAAACTTCCACCGAACAAATCTACAAATGTTAGACCATTCGGTAGTTTCTTAAGTTCTCTCAATATAATATCTTTACATTTACTCTTATTTCCAAAGAACGGTAACGGTGGTTTTGTAAAATTCATTTATATATAATAATAAAAATGTTTTTACTCGAAAAGTGACAGAAAAGTGACAAAGCATGAAAACATATATAATTTGTGAAAAGTGAAACATTATATAATGTTTTCGACCCAGAAGAAGGCTTCTTCCCAGAAGCAATAGAGGAAGAAGAAGAGTCCTCCGAATAAAAACTTCATTTATACTAAACATCAACATCAGGGCTAGAAGGCACGAAGTGCCTGGAAGCCCCACTACCTTTTTTTTTTTTTTTTTTTTTTTTTGATTGTACTGTGAAAAATGAAAGGTATTTTAAATTAAAAAATTGAGATTTTGAGATATCTCTAGAATTAAGAATTTATTATGTATTTGAGTTTTATATAACTATGTGTAAAGGATCTCGATGTCTATATGCTTTAAATAAAATTAAATAAAATGAGATAAAAAATTAAAATGGACAAGAAGATATATGGAAATGTAATTTGTATTGTGTTGGTTGTTGGCAAAATGATTTTAATACAGATTTAAGGATTTGGAATGGATTTGAAATTAAATGATTTTAATTCAAGGAGTAATAAGATTTTGAACTCACATAAAGAGATAAATGCAACTCAAAATTATTGCTTTTTTTTCAAATTGTCTATTCATCCATCTTTACATATTTATTATCTCCTCCGTTTCCCCTCACAAATTCTTTTAATTTTCTGAATAATACGTATAATAAAATGAATATCTCAAAAACTAAAACACAAAATTAATGTTGGAAAATGACTAGATATAATCTGAACTTTTGAATTCATACATTTTTGGAAAAAATTGAATTTTCAAAAAAAGAGCTTATTTAGGTATGAACCTGAAGAGAAATTTTAAGGAAAATATTAAGTTGTGCAATTTGCATTTATCTTGTTATGTGCTGCATATTTTCACGATCTGACAGCAGAAATCGAATCAGCGGAGCCAGAAGAATCAGATTACGTGTGGAAAATAGGTTTTGAACGCTTAGATAGGGCGAAAATGAGACTTTATGAGATGTGTTGTATAATTATAGTTTTTGCGATAATGTGTCATAAGATCAGAATATGAAGAGAGTAAATATGTATTATTGTCACAGGTTTATATGTGGGGATAACTCGATAGAGTCTCTAAAAGAGATTAGTACGTGAGTAAGGCGATTTAATAAACAAAAGAAAGAAATAATTAATTTTTTTTTTAACTTCGAAAAGATTGTATGAAAGTGTCTTTGATTGTAAGATACATTTAGATCGACAAGAGTGTATTGTGCACTCTTGTCGGTCAAACTTCCGCATTCAAGTTATGAATGCGGAAGATTGTCTCATTCTGGGAGACATGCAGTGACAATGTCTCCCGGAATGACACATGCAGACCGACAAGAGTGCATAATACACTCTTGTCGGTCAAAGTTTTGCAATCACATTCTGATTGCAGAAGATTGTCTCATTCTGGGAGACATGCAGTGACAATGTCTCCCGGAATGACACATGCAGACCGACAAGAGTGCACAATACACTCTTGTCGGTCAAAGTTTTGCAATCACATTCTGATTGCAGAAGATTGTCTCATTCTGGGAGACATGCAGTGACAATGTCTCCCGGAATGACACATGCAGACCGACAAGAGTGCACAATACACTCTTGTCGGTCAAAGTTTTGCAATCACATTCTGATTGCAGAAGATTGTCTCATTCTGGGAGACATGCAGTGACAATGTCTCCCGGAATGACACATGCAGACCGACAAGAGTGCACAATACACTCTTGTCGGTCAAAGTTTTGCAATCACATTCTGATTGCAGAAGATTGTCTCATTCTGGGAGACATGCAGTGACAATGTCTCCCGGAATGACACATGCAGACCGACAAGAGTGCACAATACACTCTTGTCGGTCAAAGTTTTGCAATCACATTCTGATTGCAGAAGATTGTCTCATTCTGGGAGACATGCAGTGACAATGTCTCCCGGAATGACACATGCAGACCGACAAGAGTGCACAATACACTCTTGTCGGTCAAACTTCCTAATACAAAATTTGATTCCCTTATTATCTTCTTAACAAAACTTAAGATTTCAATAATACATCATGAAAACATTCATTTACTACATTCACACTGTTATTCCTTTCTATAAATTAACTCATTTAATAGAATCTTGTTTTTATATCTTATTATTTTCTCATAATACTTCTAATTCCTCTATTTCCTCTTCCACATAAAATTTAATTTTGTAATGCTATCATATACACTTAATGTTTTCAAATTTTCAGATTTAAATTTAATCTTTATTTTCATCATCATTTATAATCTTGTTCCTATATAAAGTTATAATAAATTATCGTCAGATTCTAATATTTATGATTCTTACTACTCAATTCAATATAATTATGTTAGTCACTCATATTCAGGAGAATAATTTAAAAATCTATAGCTCATATTTTGATAGTTATATATTTAGATGATATATATTGCAATTCCGGTTTCAACACGATCAAATGCCAAACCAAGACAAAATATATATGAATTTTCAAAATATCGATTTACATTAGAATCTATATCTAATTTTATCAATACACAAGTAGGGAATGTTCAATACATCTTTGAGCAACGTGAATAGCACAATTTTATAGGATTATTTGTTGATTATATAAAATATAAGCCAAATCGAATCTGCTGTATAGTACTTTAGTTTATCATTGAATGTTAAATGTGTTCAGATAAATATTTGAGTCAGATATCGCATTTTCTAATTTCAAAATTTATCTCATGAAGTTAGAATTTATTTGATCATACAACATCATGTTAGTCAAACTAGAGTTCAATGGCGATTCTAAAATGGAACAAATGCTTGTTTTATCAAAATGTTAAAATATTAATCTAAAAAACTTAATATCTAACTAAACCATTCTAGAATTATTATATACAGGTATAGGCAATCTAAATGCACACGGAATTCGGAAAATTAAAAAGAATATTTATGAGATTATTAAATCTTATGTAATTCAATGAAAAGTAGATAATATGAATATCTATAGGCTATATATCAACATATGAGTTTTTGGTTTGACCAATACTATACTAATGTGATCAAATTAATCTGATTTCTTAGATTTTCATTTGAAACATTTGTAGTAGTAGGGGTACCTTTATATATTAACATATTAAAAAATTGCGCTCCGATTCGCAGTTTCTTCATGATTTTGAGATTGCATTAGATTTCGCGATGCAGAAAAAAATCACTTTAGATTCCCGTCAAACTCTAAGTATAAGCATGTCTCTATATGTAGAAACTGTCTGCGCTATTTATTTCCCGGCTCAAAAAACCACGGTGTCTGTGTGAGGAAAATACCCATTTTAGGACCCTGGGTAGGGGGTCATGAAAATTTTCCAAGAGTTGGAAATATAGGGTATTCTTATTTCTAATTTCTTTTTCCATTTGACAAATAAAGGGTTATCCACACTTGTCAACTTATTTATGAATAAGCATTGGAGTTTATAAATTCCAAATTGATTGGAATTTCGAAACAACTTTTGTTTGGAAATTCCAAATTCAAAATATGAAGATTCCGATCACCTACCTGTTCATACTTTTGACGGTTTTTCCATATTTAGGGTTTTCATACTTGCGACGGTTTTTCCAAATTCTAACCGTTCATAAATAGGGTACCCTATTCATAAATTCCGTCGCCTTTATTAATAAGTCTATTATATGAATATTCAAATTTTTATGTTTTTGTTTTGAATGCACGACCCAAATATACTCAATATAAGTATACTATTGGCATAAATATTGGCTCCTAAATATCAAGGTTTACACCTTTTTCTCCTGACTATATATATTTGGAAACGTTATATAATATAATCAATCTGTTATTTCAATACAATTTGATATTTCAATCAACAGTTTATCATAATTTTTTTTGTGTGTATGTAATTTGGGCGATGAACACATATTATTAACAATTTATCAACTTTATACATAATAATCAATTACCAAAATCATTTCTTATGAGTATAAAAATTTTATTAATAACAAAATGCAGTATCAAATGTGGACATAATCGAATTTGAAAAACGAGCAATTTTCCCATTCAGCTCAATGAGAATGCAAAAATTTAAATACGAATAATGTGATATTCAGAAAACGTGGCTTAAATGATTTTTTGGATTCTTCTTAAGAAGATTTTCGCCACATTCTAAAGGAAAATTGATTTCAAAAGAGGAAGTTTTCATTTCAGATATATATAGTTGCCCATCGCCAACATAAGAAGCATTAGTAGAATCAGATATTGTTCGGTATATAAATATTTCTGCTCCGACAGAGCTACAGAAAACCGGATCTTGATTGTTTTTAAATATACAATCTTCAATATCAAGTCTATCACCACGACCATGAGTACTAATTATTGCTTTGTAGTTAGTACCTTTCATATTTCCATTGATAACAGATTTCTTCAATTTAGAAGTAGTATACTCAATATAGACTGCACTGTGTGTTGTTGCAAGACATGAATCAATGAAACAACAATTAATATTAATTAATTCAGAAGTGCGACTGCAATAAATAGCTGATCCAAAATTTGTTTGACATCTCGAAAAGTTCACAGATTTAATTTTAACTTGTCCATAAACGTGACGTATTGAACCCTGGTTAGGGCCATAAAGATCGGAAATAGATCCTTCTGTAAGCGTGCTATTTCCATTTTGGCAGTTTATGAAACTATTTTGCTCGTTATTTTTGGATGAAAAACGGTGATTAACAATTTGTAATTTGCCCCTTATACCAATAGTATCGCTACCATCTGAAAACAAATTTTCTTCAGATAATATATTATAATTATCTTTATCTTCGAAGCTAATTGCATACGTGTCCAAATTCTGAAAAATAGATTTATAAATAAATGCATTATTTGAGTCAGATATATTTGGATTTGTGCTTGAAATAGGCTTTGGATGAGGAAGACTATAGTATTGAGTCCATATTTCATTATAAACAGTTTCCAATATTTAAATTCTCGGTTATGATGCTAATAATTGCATCCTCATCCAATTTAATGCATCATAACTGAGAATATTTTAAATAAGGATTTTATTATTGTTGCATGACAACAATAATTAATTTGACACTTTTTAAAATGTGACTTCAATTTTCTGAAAAAATTATTCCCTAAATAATTATGAAAGTTCAATAAATTCCAAATCATGTGAGAGGCGATATTATGGAGTTGAAAGTGTATTTCTTTAAAAGTCAATACTACTTCTTATATTTCTTCTTCTTCTTTTTAAAGAGAACAATTGGCATATCTTAAGAATTGAGTCATTTTTGACTTCAGGAAAAAAAGGCAAGGAACCAAAAAAAACAAGATATGTTAATGGAAAATAAACATGAAAAACATATATAATTCTAATAACAAATAGTTCTTTATATAAAATATAAAAAATTATCAAACAAAAAAATATAATTATTATTTCACTATAAAACTCAAAATTCTGGTAGGTCCAATGGATCCGTTGTATCTGCGATGCTGTCATTGCCAAGAACTTCGTCTTCGACTTGAGCATAAATCGCTCTTGCTTTTGACGAAGTTTTTCTACTGGAAATGATGAAGTTCTTTATTGCCGTCCTAAAATCTGCAGGAACAGAAGCTGTTTGTGTCATAATTTGTCCGAAATTATTTGCATTTTCTTCCGAAACGTGTTTAAAGTCCTCTCTAACTCTTTCACTTATATAATTACTCATTTGTTCAGCATCTGTTGCGGATGTAATGATATTTATCAACACTTTTGTACTCAAATTAAATAATGGAACGTGTGCGCTGTCCAAAGCGACGCTCATCATTTCCTGTAGCAAGAACTTACCGAAATTAGTATGTACAGCCTTTCCGAAACCATCTTCATCGCTCAAAGTATGAGAACAATCGTCTAATAAATCTAATAATCCATCCAATCCAGAAATCGATATCATTTCTTCTGGTCTCTTAATGCATTCAACGAGAAGAACTAAAAGCTCTTCAAACAAACCGCAACTCCTTACAAACTCAATTTGAAGTAATTTTCCTAGAAGTTTCGCGTAACTTGCAATGATTTCAGGGGATTCGCCTGATATCAAATCTTTGGTCGCTAAAACAACATTTTCAACAAATTCCGGATCAAATGGAATATTTAGCTGATTGTTCGGATCGTTTTTGTTGAATTCAATGATCTGACCAATTAATGTTGTAAAGCAATCCAAATCTATCGGAAGCTTGAGAGTATCAGGCGAATTTAAGAAATCATTGATAACAACTTCAACAAGACTAGGAACGCATTGCGCGTCTGCATGTACTTTAAAGAATGATTCAACTAAACCAAGAATTCCTTCTCTTACAACTACAGAATTTTTATCCGGATTTCCTATCAAAGAATTCAAGAGTTCAATCGCTTTGGCAATGACTCCTTCGACTTCTGGATAAAACGCTGTATCCGAAATCAATATAACCTTTGAGAAAACGGCAATCGGAGTTAAAACTTGGGAAATATCGATATCATTCTTACAAGCAGCTTCCCAGGCAGCTACAGGAGGAACAAGAAGCCTTGATATCATCTGCTGTTTGATGGAATCTTCTGTATGAGTGATTAATGTTGCTGCCGCTTGGTAAAACGTCGGAACTAAGCTTGGATCCAAGCTCATGCATAGGCTGTTGGAGCTTTCAACTAATTCTTCAACAAAAGCTGGTTGGCCGGGTTTAAATGGCTTAATTAACAAAGAATAACAAGTTTCTGCAACTCTGTTGAGACAAGATACAGAAACATCTTGTAATTCTTGATGTTCTTCACCGCAAAATGATAATGCTCGATGAACAATGAATCCAAGCTGTTCAATATTATTATATAAATATCTTGTATAGTTTGAACAAAGATAAACATACGCGCAGGCTATTTCCGCTCCGCCCTGCCCATTTTCAAGTAGATCTGATAAGTATTGTAAGCAATTTCGGATCAATGAATCTTCAACTGGAGGAATAAAGGCTCCAGACACAGCAGCTATTGACCAACAGACTCGTAATAGTTCATGTGGATTTTCTGCTGATTTGAGCTTCTCTAGAAGCAAAGATGCGCAATAATCTTTTACAAGCTTCGCCAAATAGTTCAAAGCGGCTCTCATGCTTTCATGTATTTGCTGTGAAGCCTCCTGAAGCTCTCGTGGTGGATAATCAGGCGGTTGCTCCATTTGATCAACCATTTCGCTAAACATTGTAATTAAAAGGGACGGAATTGGTTGAACAGAGCTTTTCTGCATGAAAAAGTATCTTGTGAGATCAGCGATACAGTCAACGCATACTCTTTTCGTATCTTCTGATTTTGATAATTCCAAAATCCACTGAACGGCTAAAGTAGGAGCGCCAAGCATCTCACCTTGTAATAGGCAGCATCCGTCGAGTGTTAAAAATGCTGCAACTGTCTCAGCGAGTTTGAAATTATTTGTACTTTCTTCAAAATTGATAACTTCGTTAAGAGCTCCGACGACTTGGTCGAATAAATCGCTAAAATCATTGCTCGCGACGGAATCAGGGTGTTCTGCTATAGCTTGCAAGCAAGATAAAGCTGGATCTCGTAAATCTGGGTTTTGGATCATTGCTAAAGCGGCAGGAACGATATCTGACGATAATACTTCACTTATTTCGAGCCATCTAAGGAAATGTGATAAAGTTGTTAAAGCTTGAGTTGATGCTTCTTCATTTCCTGCTTGTAAGATCTCTTCTGCATGGGCAATCACAAGACCAACATCATGCGATAAAGCAGCTTGTAATTCGTATGTTCTGTCGCTAGTTAATGTCGTAGAATCGATCGCATCATCGGAGAGCTCTGCTAAAACCTTCAAACAGTTAACGCAAGATTGAGGAGTTTTCTTTGATGCATTCATATAATCGCGAATAAATGATGGCCATGCAGCTGGCCACTCATTTTTAAGAATTTCGACTAAACATCTATTTGCTTGAGAAACAATAAAAGGTTCACAATCTTGATTAACTAGATCTATCGTAAGATCGAAAAAATATTGTCTGAAATAGCTTTGTTCCTCTTCATTTAAACTTTCCCATTTCTTTTTCACTCCATCAATAAAAATATGTAGCATCACAAATTTTGCATGCGGAGATTTCGATTGTTCGAGTATTTTCGTGACATTTAGCCATGACTTATCCATGTTTTTGAATTCGTTAATTAATAAATTTGCTTCTTCTTGTTCTGCAGTGTTATTCGTTGAAAGATATGCCAGCCTTTCGAAAGCCTGGACATCTAGATTTTCTCCATCTGGGAAGAGAGTTTCCATTGTTTACGAAAGGAGAAATGCTTTCAATACTTTACATCACTTTTTTTGTAAATTATTCATTGATTTTTGTCAACAACACAAATTAATATTGTCATGCATTTAATACATATGATAATAAATAAAATAAGTGAGATGATAATTCAAAAGTGACGGTTAGCACTTCCCAACTAATTTTCTAATAACACGATTTACATCGTATCCCCTTTCAATATAATAATTTGTGAGGTATTAGTTTTTTGTATGAACGATCAGAATTTTGATTTCTATGCTAAAGAAATGTATTGGATAAGAATTAATGCAACAATTGTTGAAGACATTGCAAACCGAATCCAAATAGTGTAAAATAAACAAAATTTTTTATTAATCCAAATTTCTTCCTTTGGTGAGAGAGGGTCAAAGTTGCTATTTGTCACTTTTCCACAAGAATATAATGGGGAAAAAGTTATCATATAGTTGATCTCATTCACTGAGGTGAGAGATGCATGTAGTGTAATGTGATAAACAGTGGGATTGCTGCTCTAAGTCCTAGGTTCGAGACACATTGACTTCATTTTTCTCTTTTTTATTGACGTAAACTATTCAATTTTTGTGTTCTCCATTCAAATTTCAGAATTTTTTTTGCAGATTTCACGCTACATTCGAAGTTACCTTTTGTAACAACCACCACTGCCTACAAAAGACGAAAGTGTGTCACGATTTCACCCGGAAATCCGACGGTTGTTTAAGAGTAAGCACTTTTGGCACCTACTCTTCCTTTGGTTTATATCGCTCTTTTGCAATGAATCGAATAACATTTAATTCAGTTTAAGGGTTTCGTTTTGCGAAAAAATGTACAATACACAATTTCGCTAAAAAACATTTAGCTAGCAATTTCGACCTTTGACTCCACTCAAGACGTCACTTTTTTAATTTTGCGGTATCATATTTTTGGAAAATCTTTATGAATATTATATAAAAAGGTCTCTTTAATATCTATATTTCATATTTTTATCGATTTTTAAAGTTGTTGCGAAAAGTATTCAATTATTTTTGCTATTTGGTCGGGTAAATGTCAGATTTGCGACATTTTCTGATATGATATTCAGATTCTACGTTGATAATAATGCTTATAGAACCCTCTTGCTATTGTGTCAAAATTGCGAAACCGATAGCAAAAATATCTCGCAATATCAAAATTGAGATATTGAGTGAATTATGCATTATAGAGATTAAAAATCTGATTTGTGAAAACATCTCATCAGTTTCTAGCTAATTCAAAAATCTTTACTATCTTATTCGATTAAAATGAAAAGGGAATAGTTTCATTATGCTTTAAATGACAGCCTTATAATATAATCATAGTTTTCGCTCAATATGCAGCATTTTTTTTTCGAAATCTATGGTCAATATCCTAAATACTGATTGCTTTGCATTCATATCTCTTACATTTTCTATACCCACATCACTATTCATTGCTATTCCTATCTTTTTCATTTTTGTTTGTTTCTCATAATTTCTCAAAAACATGATAACTTGATATTTGTAAATATCATACTTTATAACGTAAATAAGAACTTGACCTATTAAGAAAAGCAGTAATGAAAAGAAAATCTGAAATTCATAAAAATTACAAGTTTCTGATGACAATTAGCTTAATTAAACCAGGTACAAGATTATATAATTGTATTTTCTATCCAATTATCCATATAATATCTTATCCAGAAAAAATAACTTGATCAATACCAAATGATTTTTTAACTAGTAAATAAAGTATTTTCTTTACACACACATTGTATATCATAGTTTTTTTTGGTTTCGCAAAACATCCAAAAACAAATATGCTATAAAAGTGACAATTTTAGCAAAACGAAACCCTTATTCAGTTCGATATAGGAGGAGGTAAAATACACTTCAATTGATCATATATTAAAATTGAATAAGATATTCTAAAAAAAGGCATTTCGTTTTTACTCATGGTAGTATTACTTTAACATTCGACTGCGCAAGAACTATCGTTAAAAATATGATTCTTGTTAAAGAAAAAATAAATAAATAAGAATCATTTAGGCAATTTCTAATATGTTTTCATCTTGGAAGTAGTAGATTATATTCACATACACCAATGAAAGGTGGAATAATAAAAGATTTAAGGTAAAAAGTGTCAAAAAATATTAATAAACATATATTTATTGATGCCTTAATATCAAGTGGACTTTCAAAAACATCACTACTTGTATGCACTGTATTCAGCTGTAAATAATTTTATTTATGCTACAATTTTATATATGCCCATTGAGATAATAAATATACAATAATAAAAACAATGACTCCGATTTCTTTATTAAATCTCCAACATAAAGAACGGAGATGATCAACCTCATCGAGCTTCGCTCCATGATTAATCAGAAGTTGAGTTATTCTTTCGTGTTAATCCTAATTCACCTACTTCATTGACATTTGCTCCATTAGAAATGAGGATTTCTACCATATGGAAATCAGCAGAATCAATAGCGTGGTGAAGCATTGTATTGCCATTGGGATCTTTCGCATTGATATCTATTCCTTGTGAGGTGAGAAGCTTTATTACATTATTAGCATGCCTATTCATTGATTTTAATAGAGAATTTTTTCCAATGCTATCAACTGCATTTATATTTGCACCATGAGAAAGAAGGAGTTCTGCTACTTCTGCACTATCAGAAAGAGATGCGTACATAAGAGGAATCTCATCACCGTTATTTTGTGCGTCGATATTTGCTCCGTTCTTAATAAGAATTTCTGCAATTTCTGTGCAATTAAATGATGCTGCAAAATGTAAAGGAGTAATCTTTAATTCATTCGTATCTTTTGCATCTGCACCATGTGAAATAAGATATTCACAAAGAGATGGAATGAGAAAATTCATTGAATTAACTAATGAAGATTCGAAATGTTTTGCTTCATCTATGTAAATAGAAAAGGCTTCATAATTATTAAACTCACAACAATCATGTAAATTTATTTTTAATTTGTATTCGTTTTGAAAAAATGCAATCATATCGATATTGTGAGAAATATCGCGACATCTGTCAAAAATATTGATTTCAATCATATATACAATTAAAAATATGACAGGCAACACTTGCTCTTTAATTATTTCATGCTGCCTGACTTAAAAGTCATTCTGAGGAATAATTTGAGGATTTTTCATATTTTCACAGCTGAATACACGCTAAATTATCTTGTAATTTATTCTCATCCCTTCGTTTTTGAAATTTATACAGATGTTGAAGCTCTGTCACTATTCATATCCTTATTTATCTGGGTTTTCATGCACCACTAATCTCAAGTGAATTGCTATAAAAAATTATTTTTTAGTGAATAATACTGGACTATCAAAACAAGTAAATGAAAATAAACTTAAGACTTTATAAGTTTTCGGATGTTTCCTTTTTATATTAATATCTGGATTTATGCAAAAAAAGAATTTGTTTTCGAATGAAGATGTAGTCATATCTGACATAAAAATTTCTCTCCCTGCTTGAAAAGTTGATAATGAGTCAGATATTGTTCGGAATATATAAATGCTTGCATCATGCACAGTAGCATAATATAGAACTACACCCCTTCGACAATTATCCTTAATAATGCAATCTTCTATATAAAGAATTTCGTCAGAATTACCATATATAAAAATAATTCCTCTATATGATTCCATTTGCGAGTTATTGATGATGTTTGATCTATTCATCATGCCAAATGTATCAGAGAAAAATACTGTGCTATACCTTGTTGAATGGCAAGAATCAATACAACAACAACTAACATTAAGAACACTAGAAAAACCTCCTTGAAAATTTATTGCAGAGCCCTCATCAGATTGACATCTAGAAATGTTGACTGCTGAAATTTTTAATGCCATATATCTTTGATAGCATATACCTCCATTCTTGCTTTCGCAATAGGAAATAGATCCTTGGGTGATTGTACAGCTACTTCTTTCACTGTGGATAAACTTGTTGTCTGAGATATTAAAGGAATAAAAGCGATTATGAACAATATCATTTTGACCCCAAATGTATATGGTACCATTACCGTCAGAAAAATGATTTTCATCTGATAAAAAGTAAAGAAAGTCTTTTTCGATTTGGATTGCATAGTCAGATAAAAATTTAAAAATCGAATTATAAACGAAAGCATTTTCTGTAAATGAAATGCTTGAATTAGTTCCTGTAACAGGTACTGGACATGAGATATTAAAATATCTTTTCCAAATCTCATTAAGGGTTGAATCCAAATAATTTCTTTCAAATGAAAGTCCTGATCTTTTTGTCTAGAATTATATTAATGTTCCATTAGTGAGATCAATTAATTAATGCCCATAATAGTTGCTTTATTCATTAATAGTATGGGAAAACAAAAGTTTTTATGAAAAAAGTGACAAAAATGATAGTCGTGCCTTTTTTATAATGTAATCAAAAATAAAGAAAATCCGACATTCTCGCATACTCATGTTTAAACTCAATTTGGACAATTTTTCTCCTAAGTCTTTAGTTAAGCATTTGATGATCAATTTTATCTAAATTCTTAATAAGAGACTTTTCGCAGGCTAGAAACGGCGAAGGTAAACTTGAAAATCATATTGAAAAATCATAAATACATATATTTTTATCTGCAATTCCCAGCATTTCTCCGATTTTTTTAGTTATTTCGGATGTTCTCCAGAGAATCGTAGATTTGATCATATATACTGAATTGCGCGCCATGATTTTTAAGAAGATTCACTATTTCTGTATGCTTATATTTCTTTGCAATCTGAATAGGTGTATTTTTAAGTGGACCTATTGTATTGATATTTGCTCCGTGAGAAAGAAGGAGTTCAACTATTTCTTTGTTACCGGATTTCGAGGCATAAAGTAGAGCAGTATTTTTATGATCATCTTTTGAATTTATATCTATTCCATATGAGATTAGAAGTTATGCCACATTTTTCTCATTATTATCGACTGCATTTGTATTTGCACCATGAGAAATAAGAAGCTCCGCTGTTTCTTCACCCTCCATACGAGATGCAATTATGAGGGGAGTTTCTCCATCATGATTTCGTTCTTCGATATTTCTTCTGTTCTTAATAAGAATTTCTGCAATTTCTGTACAATTACAAAACGCTGCAGAAAGCAAATGAGTATTTCGGCAAAAATCTGTTTTGGAAATGGCATCATAAGAAATAAGATATTCATAAAGAGGCGGAATGAAAAAATGTGTTTAATAAACTAATGAATTAGGGTAATATTCTCTTTGAACTAATGAAGCCTTTTTGGTTCCAGATTGCATATGAACTAATTTTTTTTCCTCATTTAACCCCTGAGACCAAGCTTCTTCTATCGTCATTTCTTCAACTTTTATCCAAAAAATATGTGTGAATCTGTTGAAGAAATGGCAGAAATGTATAAAGAATATCTAGTCGAATACGATGATTTCGAGATACATGATACAATCGGCTCAGGAGGCTTTAGTGAAGTATTTGATGCAACATTTATCCCAACAGGCCAAAGATGTGCTGTTAAAAAGCTGAAATTCAAAGAAATCAAGAACGACGAATTCAATTTATACTATCGTGAAATCGAAGTTTTGACAAAATTAAATCATCCATATTGTCTTAATCTGATTGGTTTTTCAGTTCATCGTCCATTTATCATTGTTACGGAACTTCTTCAACGTGGTTCTCTTTATGATGCTTTGAGATGGAAGGATCCAGAGAAACCATTAAATGGATCACAGAAAACCATCATTGCCATGTGTATTGCAAGTGGTATGGAGCGTCTACACAAACTAAATATCATACATCGCGATCTCAAATCACTAAATATACTTTTAGACAACGACAAACTGCCAAGAATTATTGATTTCGGTTTATCAAGAGAAGTATCAGAATCTGATGCCATCATGACAATGCAGATAGGTACTCCGCATTGGATGGCACCTGAACTTTTCTCTTCTCAGCCTTATTCATTCAAAGTCGACGTTTACTCTTACGGAATGCTTCTTTGGGAGATGCTTACCAACAGTTCTCCTTTCAAAGGCAAAACGGCAGCCCAAATCATGTACGAAGTAGTTGAAAAAGGCGCCAGACCCGCAATTCCAAACAGATGTCCCTCATCCCTTAAAGCAATGATCAATGCGTGCTGGGCACAAGATCCAGAACAAAGACCTACATTCCATCAGATATACAAAGCCTTCTCAAACGGAAATGTTGCATTTGAAGGTTCAAAACCAACGAAAGTAGACGACATTGTACGTAAGAACCAAGCATTATTCATGACTAGAGGTGAATTCGCATCCCAATACTCCATGAAAAGCAGAAGAAAACTACATTCGATGAGTAGTGATTCACAAAAGTTCAATTTGCTATCTGATGTCGATTCCGCGAACTTCGAATCAACCTTCCAACAGATTGTAAGTCATTTCTCACAAGAAATGGCTGGAAGGTTCTTTTCCGCGATGAAAAACATATTGAAACAAAAATTACAGACAAACCAGCTCTTAATTGTCCTTAGGGGTATTGAAAAAGTGATTTCCTCCGATCAAAAAGTATACAAATTCTTTATCAACTCCGAAATTTACCAAAAATTTTACTTTGACGTGCCGGAAATCGCTGAACCGCTGTTTGGAATATTCCTCATGCTGTTTACGATATCTCCTACTAGTGTTACCCGTGAAAATATGGATTGCATCAAAAATTATATTTCTATTTGCCCTGAAAAGGTTTTGAGACTTCTGAATATCATTACATCGCATAAGAAAATCCCTTCAGGACATATTTTGTTCGCAAAAGCTGTAGATATCATTTTTAATAACGCAAATGATTTTATTTCGGCCGGATCGAGTCGCCACGTGTTGCAATTGATCTATTCATTGAGAAAGCAAATCAGAGAGTTCAAGAATAACTCTTCTTATAGTTTTGAGCGAGTTTTGCAAATTGTTCTCGATAATTTAGATGATAACAGCGAATACGCCCTTGATATCATCCTTAATGACCCTAAAATAAAGATATCTATCTCTCCAGAGACGATATCTTCACTCCTTCATAACGAAAAACTGATTGATAAAACATTATCTGCCATTATCCAAATGGATCAAGATTTGCAGGACAACTCATTATTGGCATTGATAAACTATGCCAAGAAATCGAAGTTTGCCTGTCTAACTCTTTGCCAGAGATGTTTAAATGAACAAATCGCGATAAGGATGGCCAATCTCGGCAAAAACTGGTTGCTTGAGGAACTACCAGACCTGGATGGTACAATAAGAATACTTTTGGTCATAATGCAACATGAAAATGCCAGGCAATATCTTCCTGTCGAAGTTTCTCATCCGTTGTTGGCCGCTGTTACTCCGAAACACATAAGATACATATATCCAGCGTTTATGAAGCTTTCCGTCACTCAAGAATTGTTGAATTCCCTTGGAAACGACTTTTTGGCAAAATACTACTCAGTTGCATTCCGAAATGGACCGGAACTGATCATAACCGCTTTATCTATTACAGATAAAATAGCAAGATGTGGATTTTTCAAAGGATTTGTCGGAATTATCCACTATATTAAGAAATTATTGGAAAATGAGAAATGGAAGAGTTACGCAATACCTACTATTGCAGAGTTATCCATGTTTGACGAGATGAAAACTGAATTTGCCAAAGAAAACATCGAATTTCCTAATGATTTATCAAAACTCTTTTAGAGTTGATTTATTTGTTTTATTCAAATAAAATATTATACTGTTTGTTTGTTACGTATTTAATTTAAGAGATTATTTTTTCATAACAATATTTTCAGAAAAAATGAAGCTAAAACATATGTAAAGATTTTTAACTGTTTATTATTTAATGATATGTCCAATAATTAACTCAATAAAAATGAGATCCAAATTAATTATTCAATATTTATTGGTTTATTTATAATAATTGGAAGCGTTTTCGTTTTTATCCTGTTAGGAGATGACCATAGTTCCAGTATTTTGCCAATCTGTTATATGGAGGAAAGTGATAACGAGATTGCATTTTCTGACGATGACTTAGATGATCATGAAACTCCAGAATATGATAGTCACGAATATTGGGATTCCGTTTATGCTAATAAAGGAGAATACGACTGGTATTTTGGTTGGTCAAAAATTGAAGAACAAGTAAAAGAACACCTCAAAGAGTCATCGATCGCTCTTAACATTGGCTGTGGTGACTCTCCAATGTCGCATGATATGCCAGAAAAATATTTTTCAAAAGTTATTTCAATCGATGTTTCACCAAACGCAATAAAAGAAATGAGCGAGCGCTACAAAGACGAACCAAGACTTGAATGGAAAGTTATGGACTGTTCCAAACTTGATTTTCCAGACAATACGTTTGATTTTATTTTTGATAAAGGTACATTTGATGCAATTTCATGCGGCGTTAATGGTGATGAAATAATATGGGCCTCAATGCAAGAAATTCATAGAGTACTTAAGCCTGGCGGCAAATTAATTCAAATTACTTACGCAGCTCCAAGTCAGCGCTATCCTGCAATGAGAAAAGGAAAACTCCCGTTAATATACCATCGTCCTATATTTATGGGAAGGCATGGAAAAGCACATTATATTTATATTATCGAGAAAAAAGTAATTTCTTAAAATTGTATGAATACGACCATTGTTAATAAAAAGTCAAACTACTGTTAACATGTTTTTGATATTTTTTTAAATTTATAAAAATATTTTTTGGAATATGAAAATCTGCATTGAAGCATAAACACATACTGTTCATACTCTCTCACTTCATTTACAGTGTGATGGTTGATGATTATTTATTCCTGAAAATTTCGATCAGATATCAAAACTGTAAATATCTTGGATTTATTTTTTGCTTAATGTATTCGACTTAACCGTATCTTTGATTTGTAATTTCAGAGATTTTTTTTGGGAAATTCAATTCAGGTTATATTTTTGAATGATGTAAGATTCTCAAAGGATAAAACTCTCTGAATTTGCAGCGGTTTGATATGAGCCAATCGCTGAAGGTTCCAATTATATGCCCAAATCTGGAGATATAACGCTTTGCAACATTTTCAATTTTTCATCCTTCTCAATTTTTGAATATTCTCAAACTGTTTAAAAATTTTAATGAAAATTTTAAAAAATTTGATAAATTGTTATTCATTCATCATGTATAAATGTTTGTCTTCAATCAGCCACGATTCATCAATATTTCAATAACCATTCAAATCCATTTCATTTTTTTATTTGTTTGAAAACTGATGAATGCCGAAGAAATTAAGCGATTATCAGGACGTCCACCACTCAAGACAATATTGATATTAAGCATAGGTCCACTTTGCTCCCAAATAACCAGTACTTTATATGGAATCATAAATACATTTTGGGTTTCAAAGTATATTGGCGAAGTTGGAATGTCAGCAGTTGCCATTGTAGTTGTCTGGGAACTTATCGGTAGAGCGTTTGGTCTTTTCTTGTCTATTGCCGCCAGTACTCAAATCTCATCTCTCTTTGGCAAGAAGTTATTCGAAGAAGCTCAACAAGTTGTTTGCGATTTATACAGAGTATCATTGATATGTGGATGCATTGTACCAGCAATCCTAATCCCTGTTACAAAACCTTACGCAAGATGGTGTTTGGCTACAGAAGAAACAACAGAAATGGCTTTTAAGTACATAGTTCCACAAGCAGCAGGTAATGTACTCACATGCATCTTTTATACTAACGTGGGCGTGTTACAAGCTGAAGGAAGAACTCTTCTTGTTGGTATTATCGATATTATTGCACTTGGTGTCGGAATGGGAGCCTTAAATCCATTGTTTATGGGTAAACTCAAAATGGGAATCATTGGTCCTTCGATTTCTACAGTCATTGCTGATGGTGTTCCAGCAATAATTTTGACAACTCTCTTTTTCTGCGGAAAATTCGGAACAAAACCAAAATTATCCGGATTAATCAAACCATTCAGCAAACACACATTCCAAGCAATTGTTGTTGGCAGTTCACAGTTTATTTCTCAATTAAGTACCGCTGTTCCTGCAATTCTTATGAGAAGAGTTATGGGTAAATCTCTTCTTGATAAAAGCAAATACGATGTAATGATGAGTGGTTTGAATGTTGCTTTCAGATATTCAATGCTATTTTCGGCAATCATTTTAGCTCTTTGTACTGGTTTCTTGGCACCTGGAGCTTATTCATATGCTGCGAAACAATACAAGAGATATATTGAGTTATCGATTCACTTGAATTGGATTGGCTTTTTTTGGTGTTTGTTTGCAAATATTATTGTTCTTGTTATTCCAAAACAACTGTCAAGTTTATTTGGAAAAGGAGAAGAATTTCTTGATTGGTCTGTCAAAGAATTGAAAGCTGCAAACTGGGCAACATTTGTTTTGTTCATTAAATTCACTTTCCAATCAATGTTGCAGAGCCAACAGAAAGGAAAGAGAGCCATGGTTGTAAGTCTTACTTCTAACTTTATCGCTTTCATTGCCGCAATTTATATCATTGATGCTGTTCATCCTCATCAGCCAGAGAAAGTTCTTTGGTGTTTCTGGCTCACTTCTATTGTTGGTATTGTTATTGGTACTGCATTACTTGCAAAGCCATTCTATTCACTTGTTAAAGAATCACGACAGGAAGTTAAAGCTGAAGAAGAAAATGAACTTTCTTCTAAAAGTGATTCTGATGAAAAAAGATTCTTCTAAGAAGGATTCTGATGAAAAAGATTTGGATAATGAAGATGTTGGATCAAATCATGATGCTGAAAATCCAATCTCTGATGAAAATCAAAACAAAGACTCAAAAGAAGATGAAAAAGTAGTATCTGATTAATGATTTGAAAATTTTATTGTGTTTAAATAATAAAAATATAATATTGGGGAGAAGCTTCCTAAACTTTTTAATCCCATAAATATGGTCATTATCTGGAATAAAGAGTTAAGCGTCATATGTCACTTTTTGTACTAAGGAAACATCGACTTTATGCGTTATGACTTTTCGATGAGGAAACAAGTGTTCACGTATTATAAACTTCCTTATCCCAATAACCCGGCCCTAAACATAATTAATTTTAAGCATTATAATGGTCTCTTTTCTATGATAACCAAATCAATTTGGTTATCATAGAAAAGCACCAAAAACTAGAATAGGAATCGGCAATATGGAATTATGAAACAACTAGGATAAAATGGATATGGGACATTCATGAATGCATTCACTTTTTTCAAGACTTTTTAATGAATTTCAAATTCCTCAGATTATTTTCAATAGATTTTCCGTACCATATCATTTTTATTAGACAAAGCTATCTTTTCGATGAAATTTTTGCAAAAATACTCTGTTTTGAAAAAGATTTATGTAAATTTTTTGATAAAAGTGTCTTGAATGATTATCATTGATAATACCATTCCAATTGAATGCTGTTTTCGGCTGCTTTTATAAAAATTTGATCATATTGTACTCATAATTTTTTTTGTATTTTGGTCAAAAACTAAGCTAACATCAGCTGTATATTTGCATAAGCCATTAATAAGCTTTGGTATAGGTTATACTGAGTTTAGACGATCATACAATTTAGACTTTTTTCATTTAATTTAGTCTAACAAAGAGTGATTATCTTACTATTTGATTCATAAATATATAGGAAATAATAGTTTTATACCTTAATATGATAAAATTTTATAAAATTTTCCCTTCTCCTTTGGCAATATTAGTCATTAATAGATATATTTAACATGATGGTTCTAAATATATGAATAGATAAAATTTTCCTTTCAATTTTACGAACCAAATTTATTACCATATCCTAAATTTTTTCTATGTTTATAGACCTTTGGAACTTTGTATGAAGTCTAAATATACATGTAGAGTATTCAAACAAAACAAATATCAAAATCTAAACCTTTGAATTACCTTCAATGCTTAACCGAATTACTAGATCTTATATATATGTGTGTACTAATACCTTTTGATGCATAAAAAACTCCAAAAGAGTTTCATTTTTAAAATAGTCGATATCAATTCAAAAAATTGAAACTATACCGTCAACTGTCAATTTTTCAATAGTTCGTTTTTTTAAATGTAATTGCTTTTTTTATATGCATTAATCATTTGATAGTAGTGGGATCAAATTACATATCTTAAAAATGTATTCCGAGTGGAAAAAAAATCAATAGAATTGACCACAGATATCTGTTTAATCCAAAAATATTATTAGAATCATATTTAATAAAAATGCTATGCTTTTAGAAATAAACGGAAGAATAAACGCACTGTTTCAAACCGTCAAAATTGAATTTGTGTCAAATATCTTGAATTTACAATTTTAGCTATTTAGATAATTAGAGAAGCATTTGATCAATTTTTGTGTTAAACAACTATTTTTCGAATTTCTGAGATATGAAAATTAATTCACTAACTTCTTAAAAACATGAATTGAATGAAAACTCTTAGAAGAAATGTTCATATCACTTTCATTAATGGAGTACAAGGATGATTCCGAGTTCTTGGATGATATCCAGAAGTCCAAAACCCGATCCAAGGAAATCGTGAGAATGCAAATGCACTTAGCTTATCTTGATGAATCAGAGCCCGCAAGTGAAGATGAAAATCAAGCACCAGCTAATGCCGAAGAATTTAAAGTTGTCAGAAAGTTTAGCTTACAAAAATTCCTTGAGGCACACCCAATCTTAAATGTCAAAGACCTTTGTAACTTTTCTTTGGATCAACTCTTGTATTTAGTTGATGTTGTTCGCGAGCATGAGTTTTCATCCAGACGCGGTCGGAAAAACGGTTGTGATCCATTAGATGCGTTATTCCTAACATTAACTTACTATTGCACTTATCTTCCATTGCAAAAAATGTCAGGAATTGTTAGTTTGAAACAGAGTTACCTCAGCAAAATCATTAACAAAACAACAAACAGGATGTTCCCAATTTTCATTGCTGAATTCATTCCAAAACAATATTCTCCCTGTGACAAGGAGTTCGATAACTTTCCAACATGTGTTGCTGCAGTTGATAGCTCTACTATTCCTTTTACCGTTCCTCTTGATCTTGCTGAGCGTAAAAGTTCATGGGATGCTAAAAACCATTGCAATGGTATGAAGGTTCAAGTTCTTGTTAATCCTTTAGGACAGGTAATTCACATGAATACAAGTTTTTTAGCTTCAGTTCACGATAAGAAAGTATTTGATTTATCAGGAGCTTCAGATTTTTTACATGTCCAACGTGGAGTTGAATCTGTTGCATTAGGACTTCTTGCAGATAGAGGTTACATCGGTATTCAGAAATACCATCCAACAGCCGTCATTATGCAAAGAGGTGATGACGAAGAAGTTACAAAACGCAATAATGCGATTGCACATGATCGCCAAATTGTCGAACGCCGCTTTGCACGCGATAAAAGTAATTGGAGTGTCTTGGCAATAGGATATCGTGGTGAAAAAGGCAATCTTCCACTTATTGTTCAAGGATTGTTTGCTTTAGATAACTATCACATCGATTCCACACCTCTCAGTGAGAAGGATAATTGCGATTTTCCTTGCACTCCAAAAGATGAAAAAGAAGCTGCAGCAACACCAGAACCAAATGGTTCAGGAAGCCCAATGCCAAAGCTTATTCGACATCTCCAAAATGCTCCATTACATCTTTTCTGAAAGTATTTACGTAGAACAAAACTTGCAAAACGGCATTGACATGGCAGGTAGCTCCCTCATTATGTAATCCTGGAATTGACATTTTTGTTTCGATGTTGTAGATTGCATTTTGTGTTCTTTTAACAAGTATCTTATCAATCTTTTCATATTCAGCTAGTGGAGATGGAATCTTCATTGGAGTTTCTGGAGTTTGGAGATAAAGATCTTTTGGAACACATCTTGGCTTTGGCATTGGGCTTCCTGAACCATTTGGTTCTGGTGTTGCTGCAGCTTCTTTTTCATCTTTTGGAGTGCAAGGAAAATCGCAGTTATCCTTCTCACTGAGAGGTGTGGAATCGATGTGATAGTTATCTAAAGCAAACAATCCTTGAACAATAAGTGGAAGATTGCCTTTTTCACCACGATATCCTATTGCCAAGACACTCCAATTACTTTTATCGCGTGCAAAGCGGCGTTCGACAATTTGGCGATCATGTGCAATCGCATTATTGCGTTTTGTAACTTCTTCGTCATCACCTCTTTGCATAATGACGGCTGTTGGATGGTATTTCTGAATACCGATGTAACCTCTATCTGCAAGAAGTCCTAATGCAACAGATTCAACTCCACGTTGGACATGTAAAAAATCTGAAGCTCCTGATAAATCAAATACTTTCTTATCGTGAACTGAAGCTAAAAAACTTGTATTCATGTGAATTACCTGTCCTAAAGGATTAACAAGAACTTGAACCTTCATACCATTGCAATGGTTTTTAGCATCCCATGAACTTTTACGCTCAGCAAGATCAAGAGGAACGGTAAAAGGAATAGTAGAGCTATCAACTGCAGCAACACATGTTGGAAAGTTATCGAACTCCTTGTCACAGGGAGAATATTGTTTTGGAATGAATTCAGCAATGAAAATTGGGAACATCCTGTTTGTTGTTTTGTTAATGATTTTGCTGAGGTAACTCTGTTTCAAACTAACAATTCCTGACATTTTTTGCAATGGAAGATAAGTGCAATAGTAAGTTAATGTTAGGAATAACGCATCTAATGGATCACAACCGTTTTTCCGACCGCGTCTGGATGAAAACTCATGCTCGCGAACAACATCAACTAAATACAAGAGTTGATCCAAAGAAAAGTTACAAAGGTCTTTGACATTTAAGATTGGGTGTGCCTCAAGGAATTTTTGTAAGCTAAACTTTCTGACAACTTTAAATTCTTCGGCATTAGCTGGTGCTTGATTTTCATCTTCACTTGCGGGCTCTGATTCATCAAGATAAGCTAAGTGCATTTGCATTCTCACGATTTCCTTGGATCGGGTTTTGGACTTCTGGATATCATCCAAGAACTCGGAATCATCCTTGTACTCCATTAATGAAAGTGATATGAACATTTCTTCTAAGAGTTTTCATTCAATTCATGTTTTTAAGAAGTTAGTGAATTAATTTTCATATCTCAGAAATTCGAAAAATAGTTGTTTAACACAAAAATTGATCAAATGCTTCTCTAATTATCTAAATAGCTAAAATTGTAAATTCAAGATATTTGACACAAATTCAATTTTGACGGTTTGAAACAGTGCGTTTATTCTTCCGTTTATTTCTAAAAGCATAGCATTTTTATTAAATATGATTCTAATAATATTTTTGGATTAAACAGATATCTGTGGTCAATTCTATTGATTTTTTTTTTCACTCGGAATACATTTTTAAGATATGTAATAAAAAAAAAGGTAGTGGGGCCTCCAGGCGCGTTGCGCCCTCTAGCCCTGAAGATGTTTAGTATAAATGAAGTTTATATTTGGAGGGCTTCCAGGCGCGTTGCGCCCTCTAGCCCATAAAAAATTTCTGAGGACGAGCCAGCCGGTGACTTTTTTGTAGAGCACTCAAAATAGTATAACTTTGTCCGGACAAGTAAGGGTCTATCATCGCTACAGGAAAAGTTACAGGCGTTCCAAGGAAGTATACTTTGAGAAGCCTTTTCCCCCTTATAGAATGAGATAGGACGGTTATTTTACAAAACTGACAACACTTTGACCGAGTAGTTTTTTGTGCTGAACAAATAGTGTCATATAAACATCTGTCAAAAACCGCTTTTTAACTTCACTTAAAATGCCACGTAAGCTACGTAAGAATATACGTAAGAGGAAGGGAGCATTGAAACATCCAATAGTAAAACTGACACCACAACAACAGTTGCAACAACAAATGATGAATGACCCCACTATGTTGCAACAAATGTCAAGCAACCCTATGCTTTTAAACCGAGTTATTGGTGCACAGAGTGGAGGTTTAAGAGCGGCACTTTTAGCGAAAATGGCAGGCTATGGTGGAGCTGCAGACGGAACAGCTTATAACCCTCAAAGTCAAATGAATTTGAGTTCACTCAAAAATCAAATAACAGATGTCAAAAAGTCAAACATAGACATACAGAAACAAATAAGTGAAAACGAAAAGAAACTAGAATATGACAGACACACAAAGAAACTCAATGAGTTAAACGTAGAGAAAAAGAAGAAAGAAGAACAACTGAAAGAACTAAGTACAGAGGAATATGCGAAAAAAGTGTCAGAAAAAGCAGCAGAAGTAGCAAAAATGGAACAAGATGTTATAAATTTGAAAAACCATACTACTCAATATAAAGTACTGAAAGATGAAGAGATAAAACAAAAAGCCCTGAAGACATATATGGATAGCGATGAGTATAAAAAAGAAGTTGAAGCAAATGTAAAGGCAGAAAAACTTTTACAGTTGCAAAACCAAACCGTACAGTATGAAAACTTAGCACAAGAAAGTAAAAATAACGACGCAGCCATGCAAAAGGCAATGAAAAGTGCAGAATATATAAAAGCTAATAATGACTGGTTAGATGCCCAAGCCAACGCTAAAGCAGCCCAACTTATAGGGTCAATAAGGACAAAAATACAAGCGGATGAAGACAGTTCAAATGAAGCTTTAATGAATGCTGACTTTAAGAACGCCTTCGAAGCTCTTCATAGTAAGGTGAAACTAGTGAACGACTTCTCATCTGGAAAGAAACTGAAGTCTGAAGGTTTCGACAAAGAGTTAAGAGAAATAGCACAAAATATGACGAAAATAACAGATGCAGCAACGAGACAGGCAGTTCAAAGTGCCTATGACGCCGTTAGAGCAACTGTTGTGGAAAGTCAAGAAAAAGAGTTACAACAGACCAAAACAGACCTAGTAAATGCTTTCTTAAGAACGAAAAGTCAGGTAGGACATTATGCTGCAGATGGAACATATGTGCCAGCTGGTGGAACTTATATACTAGCTAGTGGAACTTATATACCACCAAACCCTCCAAGAGAAGCACCTGCACCAGGACTACCTAAAACATTTACATCGTCACATGGACACAGACACAGGCATGCACCAAAACAACAACAACAACCAACAGTTCAAAATCCAGCACCACAACCAACAGTTCAAAACACTACACAACAACCAACAGTTCAAAACCCTGCACAACAACAACCACAAACAGAGCAAGGACATAAAAGAAGTAGAGAACAAGGAAACCAAGAATTCTTAAAAATGCTTAAGGAAGATTATGGTTACCCAGATACTCTTGACTTTAGTGACAGATATAAAGAAGCTATTAAAAAGTTCAAGGAAGGAAATACTGACCCGAACCTATTTAGCTTTATGGTTCAGCACCAAATGGGATATAATTTCAAACCTGGAAAATACAAGCTCGCTAAGGGATATGATTTAATAGCATATCATCCAAATGACATGAATGAATTTACTCCGAGATATTTGGTGTCAGAGCTAAATGATAATTCAACTCTCTTCATGAAACGCGTAAAAAATAGAGACGGAACGAAAGAAGAAAGGTTTATGAGTCCGGATGACTTAGATAGGGAACTTGTTAAAAACGGTCTCGGAATATATGAAATGCCAGCAGATGAGGTACAAGAAACTCAACAGGAAGAAGTTCAGATACAACCAGACATGGAAGAAATAGTTCAGCAACAACAGCTAGAAGAGCCTGAAGGAAACGAACAAGTTCCTCCTTTGGAAACTAACTTCACAGAACTAGATGAAGATTTGGAACAGCCGAAAAATCTTGACCCTCAACAAGACTATGAGGTGAATATGGAATCTTTCCAAGAGTCTAAGAAAAATTCGGCTGACATAGTAGAAGAATATCGAAAAATGTTCGCCGACATACAAAAGACTCCAACATCAGATGAAAATATTCAGCATAGAATGGAAGTACTGAAAGAAAATGTACGCAAATACAACAATCCTTTTTACTTACGACCATATAACGTTCAATCTTTGGCTGAACTCGGTGAAAATAAAAGGTTAAATTTCAACAAAACATATAGAAATGAAACATTGTTTAAAGTTCATTCAGAACCTAACCAATATGGAAACAAACCTACTTTTGTTTCTGCAGACTATGGAACTACAATGAGATGGGGTCATAAAGCTAATCCGGATAGGTGGTTCATAAACTTACAACCTCAATTCCAAGAAGTTGTAGACGCAATGGAAGTGAATGGTGAACCAGATATAGCTGGTATTTTCAGCGCGGCTTTAATGCCATTGAAAGATATGAAACATGCAGATATTTTGGACCAGTATGAAATGAACATGGCTGATGGAAATATAACACCTGACGTTCTAGAACATTTATCTCAAAGAACTACACAGAACCATAGAGATGGTATATTTGGTGAAGAGTTTAGAAAGAAAGTTAGGGAGAGAGAAGGAAGAGAACCTATTGTACATGACCTTGCAAACGAAAGTTTACAAAATGTCATAAAAACTTACTTTGCAGACAATGAACCGAGAAGGGATGAATATTTAAGAAAACTCAAATGGACAGTACCAAATGAAATGTTAGTATTGAAAAACATGTTCCTTGACAAAATAAAACCAACTACAGAAATAAATGACGCAAGACTGAAACATTGGGTAAAAGCTTTCCATTCACAAAAGATATTATTGGTAACATGGAAAGAAAACCAGAATGGCTACAAAAAACATATATTTGGAAACGAGCTTATTCCATATGGACAAGCTCTGTTTGAAGAGCTTGAACCGGAAACTCAGGAAAGAGTCATGCAAACAATACGCGAAGACTCAAATACAAACTATGACAAAATCTTTCTAGGATATAGGTTACCTGAGATGGGCGACCAGAGCCCAAAGGCAAAAAAGACATGGGAAATTTACAACATACTAGGTGAACATGAGGCAAAGATGCAACAACTTGAAGCAGAGGGCAAGTTACCAAAAGCGACACCAAAGAAGAAGAGTAGAACAAAGTGAAAGTAGTGAAGAAGTAACTTCATCTAGTGAAAGTAGTGGCAATGAAGGAAAAAGAAGAGTTAAAAACTCAGTCAGGAAGAAAGTAAAGCTTGGTCCGAGTGGGTTCTATTATGACATATAAATCCAACTATTCTATATTTTTACCCATATGAAATGTACGCCGCTCAGAATATAACGCCAACAGTTTTGGATGCCATGAACGGAAATGTTTCCGAATGGTATAACGAATGCGACAATGCCATTAGAAGGTCAGAAATAGTTCCTGGAACTTACGAATATACAACTGCTGTTTCTTATGGAAACGTAGGTGAGTTTGGAGAAGGTTCTTCAACAACAGTAGATATTGCTTGCGACAGGTTTCATATTATTTCTATTGACAACTCATTCTTATACGTGGAACAAGACATTGAAATAAAACCTTCTGCCAAGTTGTCTGACAAGAAAGGTTGCAATGGAATTTTCTATGTCGGATACCAATATGCTCCAGAAGTTTTCATGGGATATAAGATATATTCTAACTCTGACTTAGTTCAAACAGTAACATGGGCAAACTATGAATGGTTCGCTTTGAGAAACTCAGTACAACCACAAGCTAGAGAACAAACAGACCAGTATGCAACTATTGAGAAAATAAGAAGACTTGACCCTAACGTTCCAGGAGTTTATGTTAACCTTTCTGGACAAACTGCAGCAGCAGTAACCAAAGTAAAACTGAAACTTAGAGTTCCTTTGTCATCTTTCCTCATCTTCAGGTTTTTAAGATACTTGCCAAACTGGGCAGGAAAAATTTCTATCGAACTTACTCCAAGCAAAAATAACTTAGTCATTGCACCAACACAAGACCCATTCAGCATTACAGACGTAAAGGGAACAAATCAAACGTCATTCGCCGAATTTTGCAAAGACAAAGTTGACTTAGACTTTGGTTTCTCAAACTTCAACACTGAAGTAAACTATTATTTCAATGCTGCTGGAGATGCTTGGGACCCAGTTAAGTTCACATGCGAAAAATTTGAATGCAAGAGAATAGAAAGCAGACTTGCCGTTTATATGTTGGACCCAGATATTTCAAATGCTTTAGCTGCCAAATATATTGCAGTTCCACTTATGTTCCCTATACACCAAATATCTGTCAAAGACTTTGCAGGTGAAGTTGGAAACCAAAGTGCTGACCCAGGTGCAAGAACAGATATTGCTTTAACAACTGCAATGAAACATGCAGATACTATGTTTGTACTGTTCAGACGAACTATAAATGACTATTCTTGTTTCTACAACCCTGGTATTAAATATCATATAAACATAGATGGCAAATATTATCCAAGAGAAGAATATTCTACAGTTGAGGATATGAGGTCATACAACTTGACATTAGATGCTATGAACTTTAACAACAACTTCACAACAACCATTAACCCTGAAATGCAAAGTTCTATTATGCCATATGTGAAAGTATGGACTCATACAGGAGGTCAAAAAACTCAATATACAAATGGAGACCGTTCAAACTTTTGGCTTGGCATTCCATTTGCTGACTCAGAAGACTTTATGGGTGGTATTTCAACTGTTGGTACAGTTCAAATACAATATACTGGTGACAGAGACGGTCCAGATGAATTGAGAGCAAAGAAGTTTACAAAACCAATAGCACTTTTCATGGAAGATGCTCTTTTGAAGATTCGTTCGATGAAACCTGCTGGGGCTCCTCAGATTGGCATAACGACAGCTTCCATCGAGCAGATTTGGCAGCAGGTCAGTAAGTTGTTCTTGAACTGACTTCTCTCCGTCAAATATTGACAGTACGCCAGTTTTGACATAATATTGTATTATAAACTTTCCTTTAGTAATATCTGTAAGTTTTGAAGTTATATTTTTGTCTGCTTCAAGAACTTTCACCATTTCAGTTATACCAACTTTCTTTGCTTTATGAAAATATTTAGGTTCAGCAAAGACTGCTATTCTATAACATTTTCCATTGTTTGTGTAAAGAACTATTCTGTCAATGTATTTGTATTGTTTGTGAGTATAAACTTTGTTCTGCTTCAATTCAATAAGATATCCGAATACGTCCATCTTTTTATTCTAAGTAAAATGTCATTTCCGAAAAATAGAAGCGTAAGTGTTTCAAAAGGTTTAATGGCGGTGGCAGATGTGAAGTTAAATTCACCAACTCAAACAAACAGTCAAAGTGTTATTGTCAATGTCAAAGACAGAGATGTTGAAGTGGGGAAACCATACGAAGACGAAGATGGTATAACAATTGTTCCTGTAAAAGAACAACCAACATACCCTGAAGTTAACAGAGACTTAAGTTCTGTTGCAGATATTCGAAATGACTACCAACAACTGAAAGACAAACTTCAAACTCAGGAGAAGATTTGTCAAGCTTTAAGTATAATGTTAAACTTGGTCGAACACAACCCTGTAAAAGTGAACTCATATGTCATTGCACCTCATGAAGTTTTGAAAGAACTATTGAAACTTTTGACAGAGGCAGACGATATAAACATCAAAGAAATAGAACCCGACATCAGTTGCTGTGGTGTTTCATATAATGTCATTGACAAGATATACGTTATGAAAGGAGGTGAAACGTTGAACTTAAAGTATAGTTTCCCAGACGTTATAAAAATATTTGACGACCACAACATTTCATTAAAGTTATTTTGCTAAGTAAAATGTCAAAACTTCTTGAAAGATGTTTGAAGAAAAATAATATAGACTTTATTTCATGTAAAGACTTTACACACTTTTGAACGATATGAAAGACCCTGTTTTGTTTGTTCGTGTAGACAAAGGAAAGTTCTATGTCTTTACAAAATATTTTGAACTTCTTAGACAGAGAACTTCAAGAAACGCCATGTGAAAGTTTAGATGAAGTTCTTCTCCACTTTCAGAAAAACTTTTAAATATATATAAATGGCAGAAGACATAATGGTTTATACTATTACGACTAAAAACCCTGAGTCATATAATTCTATAACAACAAACTTACAAAGTCCTCAAGGACGATATTGTAAACTAACCTTAACACAACGACGACTAAAGCCTGTTTTGCTCTTTTGACACCAGAAGACTTTATTGTTGTGAATGGTAAAAATACTCCTTTGAAGATACTTACTCCAGATATACCACCAACAGGTTTTGTTGACTTATTTAATACTTTAAGTACGGGTGTAACATGTGCTGCAACTAGAGCAGGTTTCATTATGTTTGGATGTCCGACTGAGTTTACTATAAACGATATGAGCTATAATACAAAACTTATATCTGGTTTTTACTACCAACAGTTTCCTATAACAGGAAAAGGTGTCATACAAGGAATGTCTATTCCATTGACATTAAGCACACCAATCTTATATATTGTTTCAAACTTAGGTTCAAAGTGTTATTCGAATGTCGACAGAAACTATTATGACCAAAAGATACTTATGCGTATAAACAATACTTTCTGCTGGTTTGCCTATTGTTCATTCGAATGCAGAATTTTCAACCTTAGTGAACTCAAACACTTTGGCAAGTATAACGTTGACATTAGTTGACGCAAAACTTTGTTCCTGTAAAACTTTTATGTCCTATGTATTTGTCAATGACGGCAGAAGTTTCGAATTGGAAGATGCAACTGGTGAAAGTATTGTATTACAAGAACAACTTCAACAACAAATAGCTCAAGAACAACAATGCAACAAATGGAACAACAAAGTCAAGAATAAAAAAAATATTATTTTTTTTTATTTTATAAAAATGTACAGAATAGATGTTTCAGATTTTTATGACTTCCAAGCATTCAGAAATATGTGTCCATTTCGAGACTATAACAAAGCAGTCGAGAATTTAAACGTTTAGTCATTTATGTCGACTCTGCCCCAGAATGTTATGTTATGAAAGAATGGGATGTTGTCTTTAAAAACCAAGAGCAACAATAGTGTCTGAACAAGAATGTAGACAGAAACTTAAGAAAATAAAGTTGTACAAGTTGGAATGAAGATGTTAGATGCTTGGGATATCTTATTGTCAAAACTTGAAGATTTTTCAGTTCGTGGTATAAAGTTTTATACACCTTCTCCAAATTCTATTCTATCTTCACTGGATATAAATATGAACAAGTAGATGGAAACACAGTATTATAGAAGCTTGGTTAGACCATGTCAAAGAAATTATATGCAATGGAAACGAAAAGGTTTATGAGTATATCTTATGTTGGTTTGCAAACATCTTACAACATCCAAGTGCTAAAAATGAAACTGCTTCTCATTATAATTGGAACAAGGAACTGGTAAGAAACACATTCTTTACAGATATCTTATGCAAACTGTTAGAAGGTTATTCGAATCCGAATATGACAAACTTAGAAAACATCTGTGGTAAATTTAACTCTTCAATAGAGAATATGAAACTTATAGTTTGCAATGAACTTCAAAGTATAGATACAACAAAAGTTTTGAACTCAGATGCTTTGAAGAGTCTTATAACAGACAAAGTTGGAGTTGTTGAAAGAAAATATAAAGACCAAAGAGTTTGTGAAAATGTTGCAAACTTCATTATGGTTTCAAAACAATGCTGTTCCGATGAAGTTAGAAAGTTCTGACAGAAGATTATGTAGTTGTCAGAACGTCAGATTCTCATATGCAAGATACAGAATATTTTGACGACTTAGCAGAACTTTGACATCTGACTTTTACAACCACTTGTTCTCATATTTCATGACATTAGATATTTCTAAGTTCAATCCAAGACAAATTCCACATACCGAAGAGAGACAAACATTGTTAGAAGCAAACAAGAGTGTATATGAACTGTTCATATATGAAACTGACTTTGTGTCATTAGATGAAAGGTCATTGTACGATTCGTATAAACAATATTGTCAAGAATATGGTTATATGGCAGCGTCTAAACGTACATTCTTGGCAAATGTCAAAAGTCTTTTAGACGTACAGAATGGTGTATATACAAAGAAAAATTTTTCTGAGTAAATTTTAAAAAAAATTTTTTTTTATCGATAGAAAAGATGACGAAATTCATCTCAGTAAACAAGTACATGTCAGGACTTAAAGAAGAACTAGACCCATTCACATATTTGAATGTTTACTTCTACCATTTTGAAAAGTCTTCATTCAGCAAAGTTTGGAACATCGAACCAGTTAAGTTTGCTATTGTGACTAAAAATGTGCGAAATTTGAAGACTTAGACATAGAAGGTTTGTTAACAGTCAAAGAAAGTTTTGACAGAAGGTTCTCAAACCTTAAAGAAGGCAAAGCATACAAACTTGTTATACCTTATGAACCAAAGAAGACAGACGACGACTATGAATATTATGAGTCTAAAGTTGTAGAAGTTCAAGGTAAATTGGGTAAAAAGATTTTAGAGTCTAAGCCAGTGTTTACTCCTAAAGAGGAAGAGAACATTGACATTGACCCAGAAATGTTCTAAAAATAAAATTTTATTTTTACATGTCAAATTTCTTTTTCTCTGGAACTGGTTCAGGTTCTTTCTTCTCTTCTTCTTTTTTCTCTTTCTTTTCTTTCTTCTTCTTTTCTGGTGGTGAGACGTCAAATTTCTCAGAACCATATCTATGTAAAAGTTCTTTGTCCTTTAATAGCTCATCTATTCTGTTTTCTATTTCATCTTCAAGAACAGCGCATGTGTCTTCTTTGCATTCTAAGAACTTTGTTGGACTTCATCTTTCCAATCGGCGTCATCTCTGTCAACAAGTCTGTCATTGACAAATTTTAAGACTGCTCTGCTTAATGTTTTATGGTTCTTGTCATATTCCCAGAAACAGAACTTTAGAACAAATTCACCTTTCTGTTTACACTATGTAAGATTTTATGGTCGACAGATGTTTTGCTGTCAAAAAGTTTGTCTCGATATAGATAGTGAAATCGCTAGACATTTTCTAAAAGATAAAAATTTTAATTTTTCTAAAAATATGTTTAGAAAAAAAGTTTGCTGACATTGACAAGAAATTTGAGAATGTTTTAAACAAGAACAAGGTGAAGTTAGAAAATGCTCAGATAAAGCCTATACATGAAAAGTTCTTATTTGCTCAGAATGGTATAACAGGTCTAATTGCACCACCTGGGTCGGGTAAGACTTTCACTTATCTTAAAATGGCTGCACAGCAACAAGAACTAGATGAGAAGAACCCATTCTATGAGTTAGTTGTTATTTGTAGTACTTCTGGTCAAATTGACCAAACCGTCAATTCGTTCAAAGATATTATAAAGAAGTCTAAGTTAGTATGTATAAAGGATACTGAGTTGTTAGATTGGATAAAAAAGTACCAAAGAAGAGTTTTGAAGTATAATGCTATAAATGAGTATGTCAATTCGAAGTTTAAAGACCCAAATGAGGAAATGCAGAGAATATTAGAGAAGAAACACTTCAGAAACAAACAGAAAGAGATAGAATACATTTCGAAGAAATTGCAATCTTACGATTGGAAGACTTACCCTCATAGATGTCTTCTTATCTTAGACGACTTTGCATCTCATCCTTTGTTAAAGAATAGAGAACAAGACATGTGTCGAATTCTTAAGAAGCTCAGACACTTTAACATCTCAGTTGTCATTTGTGTACAGACAGCAAAGAGTTTAAGTAAGGATGTTAAAAGAATACTTACTGACATTATACTTTTCCCCGGATTGTCCGAAGACGATTTCATGGAACTTATGAAAGAGTCCATGGCAGGTAAGTTTGACAGACATGAACTATGGGAGAAGTACAAAGTCATACAAGACCCTCATACTTCTTTCAGAATTCATATCTACGCAAACAAAGTTCAAATTGTAAAAAGTCAAGCTTGAAAAATCTAAGTGTTTAGTCTTAGTAAGTCTGTTGTGGTGCTGGGGCTGTCGGTTCTTCTGGCTTTGGAAGGCATTCAGGAAGAGGAACGTCAGTCATCCGTTTGTGTCCTGTCGGATGGAAAATATTTTCCAGTTGTCGGGAAAATTTTTTCCTGTCGGAAGGAAAAATTTTTCCTGTCGGAAGGAAGAACTTTTTCTGAAGTTCGACCAAAAAGTTCTCAATTTTCGAAAATTTGAATGGTTTACGGACGGACAACTGGAAGAGTTCTTCCTGTCGGAAGGAAAAATTTTTCCAGTTGTCGGGAAAATTTTTTCCAGTTGTCGGGAAAATTTTTTCCAGTTGTCGGGAAAATATTTTCCTGTCGGATGGAAGGACTCGGAATGCCAGAAGGATTTGACGAGGCAATTTACCTAATTGAGCTACCTGAGCCATCTGAAGTCAAGCGTAAAAATAAATGGTTCATCTACCCTACTTGTTTGAAGTTGTCAAAATACTCTGTTATTTTTTCCTTTAACAATGGCAAATCTTCTTTGAAGGTAAGTATTGTACAACCTTTCATATCATAGTGTGTTTGAGGTAACGTATCTTGAACTATTTGTTTCACATCTTCATTTGGGGTCATTGAAATCGGTAAGTTTTCGCGATAGAACCAATTTCTGTCAGATTTGTAAATCTTAGCAAGGTCGTAAAAGCTTTTGTTGTTTCTTCTGACTAAATGCAACATAACCATATCTTTATCTTCTTCATTTTCCATCTCTTCAGTATAAATCATATACTTATAGTTCTTTTCCTTTCCTTTTGGTACCGAACGTGGTATTCTTTTCTGAATGCTTTTGTCTTTTGCTTCAATGACTTCATCTTTTGCTTCAAGCTTGTTTTCCATCTCTTCACGTTCTTGTCTATGAATTTCGTCAAGAAGTCTGTAAATATTCCAAGCATAACGAGCTGAAGCCCACATTGCAACAGCATTTACAAGAAGTCTATGTACATAATATCCTCTCAAACCGTTTGGCAATTTTTCACGATTTTCATAGAGTTTTGGCGACTGGGGTTTTTTACTTACTCGCTGTTCTTCACGATTTTCATAGAGTTTTGGCGACTGGGGTTTTTTACTTACTCGCTGTTCTTCACTGTTTTCAGAAAAAAGTATGTCTCGCTGTGCTTCGCTCAAAAGTTCTTGTGTGTTTTGGTTCCTAAACCAGTCTTTAGGAAGCTTAGTATCTGGAGCAAAACATGCTGTCAAAATACTTTGCATTTGGTACATATCGTCTTTGACCGAACGAATGAGACGGAGTTGTTTGTTAAACTGTATGTACTCATATTCTTCATTTATAGCTTCATGGACTATAACTGTTGTTGTGTTCTCTGATGTTGACATATCTGTCTTTACATACAAAATAAAAAAATAAATAAAAATAAAACTAACTTTATTTTTTCTATCTTATGAAAATTCATGAAATTTGGTCATTTTTCAATAAAAATATATTTTAGGTGAAGCCCACATTGCAACAGCATTTACAAGAAGTCTATGTACATAATATCCTCTCAAACCATTTGGCAAATTTTTACGATTTTCATGAGTTTTAGGCGACCCAGAAAAAAGTCGGTCTCGCTGTGCTTCGCTCAAAAGTTCTTGTGTGTTTTGGTTCCTAAACCAGTCTTTAGGAAGCTTAGTATCTGGAGCAAAACATGCTGTCAAAATACTTTGCATTTGGTACATATCGTCTTTGACCGAACGAATGAGACGGAGTTGTTTGTTAAACTGTATGTACTCATATTCTTCATTTATAGCTTCATGGACTATAACTGTTGTTGTGTTCTCTGTTGTTGACATATCTGTCTTTACATACAAAATAAAAAATAAATAAAAATAAAACTAACTTTATTTTTTCTATCTTAAGGAAATTCATGAAATTTGGTCATTTTTCAATAAAAATATATTTTAGGTGAAGCCCACATTGCTACAGCATTTACAAGAAGTCTATGTACATAATATCCTTTCAAACCGTTTGGCAATTTTTCACGATTTTCATACGGAATCTCTTCTCTCGGTTTTCCGAGGGAAGCAAGCATATGAGGAAATTCATGATTTTTGGTCATTTTTCAATAAAAATATATTTTAGGTGAAGAGGTGAGATCTCACCCATTTTTTCACCTAATTTTTCACCTCAGTTATTTTATAAGCGTTTTACATGGTAAACGTTATTTTTGGAATTTTGTGAAAACTCAACGGTTTGACACATGCCATATGCCATTATACTCAGAATTTTGTGCTGAATTCAGCAAAAATAAAGTTTAGGTGAAGAGGTGAGATCTAACACGTTTTTTCACCTGTTTTCTAACATCGAAGAATTTTGTGCTGAATTCAGCAAAAATAAAGTTTAGGTGAAGAGGTGAGATCTAACACGTTTTCTAACCTGTTTTCTAACATCGAAGAATTTTGTGCTGAATTCAGTAAAAATAATGTTTATGTTAACATGTTAGATCTAACACGTTTTCTAACCTCTTTTCTAACATCGAAGAATTTTGTGCTGAATTCAGTAAAAATAAAGTTTAGGTGAAGAGGTGAGATCTCACCCGTTTTCTCACCTGTTTTTTCACCCCAGTTATTTTATAAGCGTTTTACATGAATTGTACGATGTATATTTGAAATCCTAAACAGTTTTGTAGCTTCTATTTCTTCTTTTAGTACATCGAATGTTTTAACTATGCCGAAGGTTTCTTTATACTTCTTCTTGACGTCAGATAATAGGAAATCGTCAGCAGTTGGATAGTTTTTGTTCAGAAATGCTAACATGTCCATTTTATCTTCTGCTGGCTTTTCTGCTTCTTTCTTTAAGTCTGCATAGTCGTTTCTCATTCTTTCTATCTCTTTGACGGAGTAGTTATATTTCCTCATTGCTGCCTTACATTTAGAACATTGCGGGTTCATTTTTGCGTTATACATTGAAACCTTACCTGCTAAAACAACTAAGGCGTCAATGGTTTTCTTTAACTCAAAAGCTGCTGGTTTTATCTGTTCATTCCATACCTTACCTCTTCTATCTTTATCTCTTATCTGCCATACACATTCTGCAACTAATGAAACAAAGTTGTCGTATGTCTTAAATTCTTCAGATTTATATATGTCAGAACATTCTTATATACCATATCGCAATCTTTGTCCAACCTTATGGTTGCAATGAAAACCAAGGAATTCATAATTTACCTTTCGTATGAACTTCTTTATTTCTACTGAGTCAGTTGGTTTCACTTCAATTTCGTCGAATTCAGGAATAGTGAGTTTTTGTTGTTGGATTTCAGGTAGTTTAGGCAAATGGTCAATAATGTCCTGCATTTCATAAAGATATTCTTCATTTGTTTCATCTTTCGCACTACAGTCTAAATTACTTGTTAAAAGTTCTTGCTTTATCTTCTGGATTTCTGTTTCGAAAGTATATGAAGAAGGAATAAAGCTTTTCATCTCTACTAACATTGACGTAGGATTCATGACTAACGAGTTTGGTGCTGTTGTTGCTAACATGTTCTTACAATAAAAATAAAAAAATAAATAAAATAAAACTAACTTTATTTTTTCTATCTTAAGGAAATTCAAGATTTTCGAGAGTTTTAGACCATGTTAGAAATGAGGGTAGAAATGAGGTTAGATCTAACCATCTACCCGACATTCTCGTCAAATACAAAAAAATGAAGAATAACTTTCACTTTTTCATTATATAACTGTTATTTTTGACGAAGTGAAGATTGACACTTCGTCAAAAAAATCCCTGAAATCATATCTTACATACAAAAAAATGAAGAATAAATAAAATAAAACTAACTTTATTTTTTCTATCTTAAGGAAATTCATGAAAATTCAAGATTTTCGAGAGTTTTAGACCATGTTAGAAAACAGGTGAAAAAACGGGTGAGATCTCACCTCCTCACCTAAACTTTATTTTTGGTGAAAAATGACCAAATTTCATGAATTTTCACAAAAGACCAAAAATAAACGCTTTACATGTATTTTTCAGCAACTTCGTCAAATAATTTTATAGCTTTATCTATCTCATCTACTTCAAACGTTTCTTTACCTTTCGTGGGAGCACCATACATTTTCTCAAACTTTTCAAGTAGTTCTGTTTCTGCAGCTCTCATATCATTAACAAACACAACCTTGACTCTATTGACTGTACTGTCATATCTTTGAGTTATTTATGTTCTTCCTATCTTATATCTCTTTGTATTGAAGTCCTTCGGTTTCTGAACGATGTAAAGTAAGCCTTCACTGCAACGTTCCGTATCGAATGAACCATATGTTATGAAGTTATATCCAACAACTGGGTCTACCCATAACAAAACTATTGGTATAAGACTTTTGTCTATAAGATATGCTCTTGTTCCATGAAATGCTACTGATATCATAAGCTCAGGATTTCTTGTCAAAATTTTCTGAGTTGAAGCATTTCTAACCCAGTCCTTTGCTTTCTTTCCAGATGGAGATATAATGTCTGACAAAGAATATTTGTTGTATTTCTTTGAGTATCTTACGTTTAAATCACCGATTCTAACCACTTTGGTGTCATTGTCTATCTTTCTAACTGTTTCAAACTCAATGTTTGTCATTTCTGTTCTTACATACAAAATAAAAAAATAAATAAAATAAAACTAACTTTATTTTTTCTATCTTAAGGAAATTCAAGATTTTCGAGAGTTTTAGACCATGTTAGAAATGAGGTTAGATCTAACCATCTACCCGACATTCTCGTCAAATACAAAAAAATAAAAAAATAACTTTCACTTTTTCATTATATAACTGTTATTTTTGACGAAGTGAAGGTTGACACTTCGTCAAAAAAATCCCTGAAATCATATCTTACATACAAAAAAATGAAGAATAAATAAAATAAAACTAACTTTATTTTTTCTATCTTAAGGAAATTCATGAAAATTCATGAAAATTCAAGAGTTTTAGACCATGTTAGAAATGAGGTGAGAAAACAGGTGAGATCTCACCTCTTCACCTAAATTATATTTTTGGTGTAAATTTCATTGACTGACTGACTGACTGACGGCACAAAGTGGCTTAGCGAAAACATTAATATATAAAATTCATGAAAATTCATGAAAATTCAAGAGTTTTAGACCATGTTAGAAATGAGGTGAAAAAAGAGGTGAGATCTAACCTCTTCACCTAAATTATATTTTTTGGTGTAAATTTCATTGACTGACTGACTGACTGACGGCACAAAGTGGCATAACGAAAACATTAATATATAAAATTCATGAAAATTCATGAAAATTCATGAAAATTCAAGAGGGTGAGAAAACAGGTGAAAAAACGGGTGAGATCTCACCTCTTCACCTAAATTATATTTTTTGGTGTAAATTTCCTAAACTGACTGACTGACTGACGGCACAAAGTGGCATAACGAAAACATTAATATATAAAATTCATGAAAATTCAAGAGGGTGAGAAAACAGGTGAAAAAACGGGTGAGATCTCACCTCTTCACCTAAATTATATTTTTTGGTGTAAATTTCCTAAACTGACTGACTGACTGACGGCACAAAGTGGCATAACGAAAACATTAATATATAAAATTCATGAAAATTCAAGATTTTCGAGAGTTTTAGACCATGTTAGAAAAGTGGTTAGAAAACGTGTTAGATCTAACATGCTAACATAAACATTATTTTTCAATACTTTTTCAGCACTTTTCCGTAGTTATATATGAAAGACAATTCGAGATAAAAGTCATAGTACAATGGAATAATATGTTGCACACCATTTGTTGTGAACCAAACTTGAAAGTCAGAGAAACTGTTACTAGGTGGTTCGTAGAATTTAGAAGCAAAGTCATAAAAGTCCTTACCAATACATAGAAAACTATTGTTGCTTGAACTGAAACTTGCATGACACATAACATTTTGAGGGTCAAACACGTTTCTATAAACTGTCAAATCTGTTGTGGAAGTATAAATTTAAATGGACATCTGGTGGTAATGGTTCGTTCTGGTTTAGTAACCGAAGAAATTGTGCCCAAGAACGTTTGTCTACTTTCCAAAATAAAAACTCTGTATCTCTTGGAGGGTTAATTTCAATCTTTTGAAATGAAACGGTGGAGTTCATCTTGTCATATTCTAGTTTCAGATAGTATGTTCCATTTAGTAAAGAGTCGTATTTTTCTTGAAATTCCCAATAATATTTGTTCATTTGAGTTTGAAAGTCATTTAGAGTTTTCTCAAGACTTTCGTCTGAACGAACTGTAAAGTTCTCATTTCGTCAAATTTGTCTATTAGACCATCAGAACCTTTATACTGCCCATGAAAATATACTACGAACATAAATGCGTTAGTTCTATTTGAAAACAAAACTCTTCTAAATCCTATTGCCTTTGCATCTGAAGGACTTTGAAGCCAACGAATTGGATAGTCAAACCTGTATGCTCGGGATGAAATTTCTTCATCTGAAATAGTCCTACCAGCATTTGTAAAGATATAGTCTAACGGTTTTGTATCTGCTACTTTTGTTCTTTGTTTTCAACCTGAAGCATTTATATATGTAAAAATATATTGTTTTAAAATGATATGCCATTTCATATTTCTCATCTAACAAACAAGTTTTCCAACGGTCTTCTCCAACAAACTCAGCGTACATTTCAAATAAAATTTAAAAAATGTCACTTTTTAAAAAATAAATTTTTTATTTCATGCAATGTTTAACTATTTCACCATCTTCTTTAACACCCCAGTACTTACGCTTGGAGAGGACATGAACTTCGGAAAATACCTTATCTAGCTTAAAACAGCCCATCTTTTCACCGACTAAACCCATTTCAATGAGTTTGTTGTATCCTTCTTCGTTCGTCATGAGTGCGTCAATGTTCTCATAGTAAACCTTGACTTTGGATTTGACTTCGGAGAAGAATTTGTTGTAGTTGTCAAGGACTGCCTTTGCGAACTGAGGGTAAGACCAATGTTCGACAATAGGTTTTAATGTGGTTACTAAGCCACTTTGACCTTGAGTGAATTCGTACTTCAAAACAAAAGGAGAAAACCTTTCAACAAAGTTGTCGACCTTCTCATAATGTTTACTCTTCATCTCTTGAGGTTTCTTAATGGAATATCCCCATGTCGAATTCATAAGCAATTTGAGTGTCATTGCAAGTTGGGGTTTGAAGCTTTCCTAATATCATACAGTTGTTGTATGACTTTTCCAACTGTATAGTTCCTTCCCGGGAACTCACCATCTTCGTTTGGAATTCCAGTCGGAATATATTGGACAAACCTCATGTATGCAGCGTTAAGGTCGACATAGTATATCTTTTCGTTTGAGTCGAACTTGTCGCAACCAATTGGTCCAGTTTGTGGAAATTCAAGTGAGTCTCTTATCTTCTGAGAAACTTCTCCTGTTATCTCATAAACATCGTCGAAGCAACATGTTTCATATAAAACCTTCTGACCTAACTCAGATGCTCTCCAATACAATTTGACGTCAATTGGATGTCTCAATGGAAGTTTGTTTATAGCATCTTGAAGTTCTTGCAACCTCATTGGAAGTTCTTCTGGTTCAGGTTGGTATCCGAACATACCAACCCCTTGTGGAACTGTGTAGTTCTTTTGTACTAGAACTTTGTCTGGAACAACTTTTGGTCTTGCTAACAATGAAAAGTTTGTTTCGTCTTTTGGTACAAAAGTTTCTGTCAGCTTGTCATCTGGAATTGGTTCCAACAAACCTTTCTCGAAAAGAATGTTTACAGCTCTGACAATGTTGCACTTGCCTTTTCCGAACAATGGGTTTGTAAGACTTTCGTTCAACATGAAGTGGTTGTGGACAATTACAATCTTCAACCATGGTAAATTGAACTCAACAACATAGTCGTCATGTGAAGAACCTTTAGCTGTAGGTATGTTGACTCGGATATTGACATTTGCCAACGGTGCAATTTTTGCCAATTGACCTCTGAGAATGTACCTTGTCTTCACACATGACTCAAGATACTTCATCTTCTCATCTGTAACAAGACCAGAGTTCCTGAGACATGTAAGAATACAAGGTTCATTGACAATTGTTTCAATTGAATTGTAAATTCCATACCTTGTCAAGTCAATGTCAGACTTATTTATGAACGGGAAGTATCCAGCATGTTGTCTGACTGCTTGACGGTTAGGTTGGTACCATTCGAACTTGACACTTGCAATTCCTTCAATTGCATTCAAAATGTCTGAGTCGGAGTCAACCATTTGTTCTCTCTTTGTAGTCTTGAAAGCGTCAAGAAGTTGTGCGGCTGTTGTGACATTGCCATGTGCATAGTAAATGTGACCATCCAAATCTGTTATGGTCAATCTGAGATTGTGTCCTTTCTTATTTCCGTCTTGTATGGCAGCAAGTACTCCCATGAAGCCTTCTTTGTTCTTTCCTTCGTCAAAGTTTACTGTAAAGGTTCGACCAGATGTAATTTGACTTCTAACTTCACGGTACTTTTCATATGCATATTTTGTTCTTTCCATGGGAGCATGACCATCCTCTGCACTACCTTTTTTCCTTCTCAAAGGATGCAATTGTTCGTCATGTTTCCAGTAGAATCTGGCAAAGCCGTCGTGTCCTTCAACTTGAGGTTCACTAACATCGAAAGGCATGTTCATAAGACGTTCTTCTTCTAACCTCTCTAGTCTGTTTGGATAATTGGCACGTGCTGTTTCCAAATCCATTTCGTAGCGAAGACCAGACAATTTGTCATAGACTTTTATGGGTCTTCCCTTCCTATATTTAAACTTCTTCGAAACTCTCCAACCATATCTTTGCAACTCTGCTTTTATTCTAGCAGATTTTCTATCCATTCTATATGGGGGCATTTTTATAAAAAAAAAAAAATTTTTTCTTTACTTAACATAACTGCCTGCTGCCATAAGTCTTTGACGCCAACCCATACCAGCTAATGAAGGTTGACTTGGTTTAGTTTCCAAACTAAACTTTGGTTTTGGTTTATCTTCAGTTTTTGGTTTTTCTTCTTCTATCGGTTTTTCGTCACTTTTCGGTTCCTCTGACTTTACTTCACTTGCAGGAACAGTTGTGTCGTCAACATCTTCATAAATATCATATGCCATTTGTTTTTGTTTTCCTTTCAACTTTTTGTGTTTGTTGTAAAGTTTAGAATATTTCGACTCTAAGTCAATGAGATGTTCTATAATGAACTGTTGGTCAGTGAAGTAAACTTTTCCATCTGTTGTCTCGAAAGCTCCTTCAGACTTCAATATTTTATTTGTGAGAGTCTGTTTCTTTTTTGAGATACTAGCCGTTCCATTTTTATGAAAAGTGACTTTGTAGTTAGGGTTTGTATTTCCAGACCTGGCACTTTCTATTATTGAATTTTTCTCTTCATCTGTAAGTTCTTTGACAGGTTTTGACAATGGTTCTGAACTTTTTGTTTGTGGTGTCAAATCTACCGTTTCAACTTCTTCGGTCATTTCATCTCAGTAAAAAATTTTAGTTTGGTTTGTTTTCAACTGGTTGTTGTTGTTTTTTAAGTCGGTCTAAAACTTCCTGAGGTATAGGAAGAACTTGACAAACACGTGGTGTAACTGCTGGAAGCCGACAAATCCATCTTGAACCCATTTGTCTCAATGCTGCATTGTTCATTTCATCTCAGTAAAAAATTTTACATTCCCCACGTTTGAGGCGGTTGAGGTTGGTTATTGTTTACCCACTGTTGTGCATGGTTATATCCTCTGTTAAAGAATCTTTCACCTTGGTCCATATAGTGTCCTGCTTGGTTATAGTAGTCATTTGCTTTGTTATAATAGTTTCCTGCTTGTCTTCCTACATTGTCCATCCATCCTTGAACTTTTCCTCTTGTTTCAGGATTTGGAATAAGATTTGTTGCATCTCGTGCTACCTCCCAACCTTTCTGTACAGTTTGTATAATAGGTTGTGCTTTCTCTTTAAGTATACCTAATGTACTCAAAATCTTCCTTCCAATTCCAAATGCACCTCTGGCTATTGTTCCCACTGCGGGTAAAAATCTAGATGCAACTCCTGCTAATGCGCCAAATAAACCCATTTCTTATGGGTTAAAAAATGACGAATCCAAACAAGGACCCCTATGTTTCTAAGGCAACAAAAAAAGCACTCATGATAAAAATCTTTAGTTCAACACCAAATGCTTGGTTTATGGATATCTTGGAAAACATTCCGAGGTATAGAGAAGATGGACCACCATACTGGTTAATATTTGTTGGTCAAAACACAAGATACTGTGAAGCCATACCATTATGGTCCAAAAATATTTTAGATGTAAAAACTGCTTTGACAATATTCGTTGACAAATACCATCCAACAAAACTGACATCTGACTGTGAAAGTTCTTTCAAATCAGATGATGTAAAAAACTATCTGCGTTCAAAAAATGTAAACCAATATTTCATTGTCGACCAAAACCATTCTGCTCTTGGTGTCATTGACGGTTGTATAAAAATGTTAAGAGACTTAAACCAACCACAAGGTGGTGAAGCAAATGAAATGTCATATGACGACAAATATAGACACTTCTCCATGGCAAAGATGAGACAAGTTTTAAATATTTACAATAACCGTAAACAAAAAGGTTTGGGAAACCACTCCCCCGAAGAAATGAAAAACAACCCTGACTTAGAGAAAGACTATATATTTAATAATTTAGTCAAAAGAGACAAACAAGAAAGAATGCCGGGCTTCAAACTTCAGAAAGGTGACAAAGTAAAAATAGAAATACCTAAACGCGACCCATATGAAAATACTATTGACTATGACAACAATGGGAACCCGACAGGTACTCACATTCGTGTTCGTAAAAATAGAAGAAAGTATACAAGAGAATATTATGAAGTTTTAGGCAAACATGGCAAAATGTACACACTGCAAGCAGAAGATAAAACTACTATTGCCAGACCTCGTTTCAAACTTGTCAAAGTTCAAGGTGGTATACTTTCAAAGACAGTTCCTAACAAATATAAGACAACTCCTGACGAATATGCTAAAGAAGTTGAAAATGACGACTAAGTTATGGAAGCAATATCTTTCGACATTTTTATTCTAGATAAAATATGCTTTCAATAGAAAAAGAAAATTCAAGAGTTGCTACAACTAAACCATTAGATGAACTTTTTACTAATGTCGGTCAAAAGTTTGAGACAGATACCGTAAAGCATGAAGGCTATCGTTTTGACTACCCATTAAGATGGTTAAGAGACCCATCCGTCACAAAAGCTATTGGCTTTCGTAGAATGAAGTTCATTTCAGAAGCCATACATGGTTTCCCATTTACGGTCGGTTTTGAAGTTCGATACTATAACAAAGAAAAACGTATGTATGAGAAATTTGAACAGGGAAAACTTTTACAAGTTAGTTTGCTTATAAATTTAGAAACAACTCTTCAAGCTTTTCAAGAAAAAATAAACGATATCTATATCGAATATGCAAACCAGTATAACATTGACGAAGGAGAATACCATCTCGATATTATTTATGACAGGAAAAATGCAACTGTTAAAATCAATAAAATAGAAGACCTTGGAGAAAACGTTTATATTTCTACAAAATATAACAACTTGGCATGGTATAGATTTATGAGGATGTTAAATCAGCCTGCAGCATATCCAGTACACCCGGACTATTATGAAGTCGAAAACCCTAATGGAACATATGAAAATATTTTCGACCAAGATGCTATTATTGTTCATGCTTCATTTTCTGGCGCCCAAAACTCTTTTTATGCTTGGCAAATGACTTTTACGAAAAACCTACAAAGTTATATGAACCGCCGAGTGGAAGTATTTCAGACTTTCAAGTATGGTTTACTACAGATGGAAGAAAAAGAATAATTCCATTATACCATGCGTTTTACTTAGAACTTAGTTTCATATACAACTACTATCGAACGGTAAAAATATAATTTTTTAATACGGTTGAGGTGTTGGATTTGGTTGCCAACTAGACTGTGGTGCAGGTTCAGGCTGTTGTATAACAGGAGCTTGTTCTTCTGGTTCAGGGTCTTTAGGTATAATACCAACAAACTGACCTACTCTTTTACCAATATTTTTGACTCCGTTCCAAATTCCTCTTCCGACAGATTTTATTCCATTCCATATACCTCTTCCAACATTTCGAAAGAAGTTTCCAATACTACTGAAGAAACCCATTTTACTATATGTAAAAATCTAATGTCCGCCTAGTCTCTTACGTTTCCTGTTGAGTTCCATAGCATTCTTTAACTGGAGCTCATACATTCTGTTTCTCCTCTGGTAGAAAACATATTCTGGGTCAACTCCTGTGTTCGCGTCATCTGCATAAAGTTGTTTATATCCCACTTCAGGGTTTGTATAAAACTCTTTCCATCTCATATTTGCATACCATGGTGGCAAACCTAACGCAGCGTCATTTGACATGGCAGTTTGCATTTGTACATCTGTTGGCACTTGACCATAGTTTGCCATTGCAGTTTGTATTCTAACTTCATTTGGAATATTCTCTGGGTTTGGTTGTCCAGGTTGCTGTGCATTCGCTAAGTTCTGTGCGTCCATTTAATATTAGATAAAAATATCTCTTACGAGTACATATGCTGAACATTTACAGGCATTGGTTCATCTTCATATTCTCTGTACTTTTCTGCCACGTCAAATAAATAAATGACACAATGGAAAAAACCTAAAACTAACAATCCGATTTCAAACCACATTTACTTACTAATAAAATTTCTTTGTTATGACACTTTCTCCAGTTTATAGGACCTCTCTCATATTCTATCTTGTCATATCTAAACTCATAGTCATGTATGTCCTCTAACCATCTCATAACGGTTTCCAAACCACTTTTATCGGATGTAAAGTAAAAGCATGGATGGTTATGTATAACGTCTAAAGTTTCTAAAGAGTCTCTCAAAGTCCAGTCTACTTGGTATTGAAAATCCCATGTGTTATAGAACGGTGGGTCCACTATAAAGAAAACATTTTCCTTGTCTTTATATTTTTCATACAACTCTGTCCAATGACATCTCACAAACTCTATACCCTCAATATATTTTTCTATGTCCTCTTTGAAAACATTTGTATAGTTAAGATATAAAACTTTTGACATAAGTGTTTCAATGTCATGAACTCTTATAGAACCACTATATAATAGTCTAGCAGATATACTATCCCAGTCAATATATTCTGCTTTTTTCAAAACCTCTCTCACAATATTTTTCTTATCTAATGGTATACGTTCCATCTTACCTATAGGTATCTTTTCTTTTAACTCTTTCAATATGTTGTTTGTGTCTGGAATATGTTTGAGACGGTCCATATAGTTGTCGAAGTCATTGCATATAATCTTTGAGTCTGGGAATATTGTATGACATAAATGGGATATATAGAAACTTCCACCGAACAAATCTACAAATGTTAGACCATTCGGTAGTTTCTTAAGTTCTCTCAATATAATATCTTTACATCTACTCTTATTTCCAAAGAACGGTAACGGTGGTTTTGTAAAATTCATTTATATATAATAATAAAAATGTTTTTACCCGAAAAGTGACAGAAAAGTGACAAAGCATGAAAACATATATAATTTGTGAAAAGTGAAACAAAAAAGTCAACGGCTGGTCGGCTGGGGTTCGGTCCTCCTCTTGGGTCTTGGGCAAAATTTCTTATGGGCTAGAGGGCGCAACGCGCCTGGAAGCCCCACTACCTTTTTTTTTTTTTTTGTAATTTGATCCCACTACTATCAAATGATTAATGCATATAAAAAAAGCAATTACATTTAAAAAAACGAACTATTGAAAAATTGACAGTTGACGGTATAGTTTCAATTTTTTGAATTG